CTATTGATCTCCAGCTAATTTTTTTTTAAATAATAAACTATCATTTTCCAAAATTCGATTTCATACTGGAGTTCCTTAGGCTATCTTGATGTTATTCAAGTCTGATATAGTACTTTGGCATACTCTCTATCTAATCTCACCAAAACATCTTATTGACATTTAACATGATGCTTGAAAAAAATAAAATAATGTAAATGTTAGCTTTGGAGCATATTCGAGGTAAACTCTAGAATATTGCACCAATTCATCTCATTTGCCTTATTTCACTTATTCAAAGTATTAATGTTCTCTTCGGTATCTTAAAGTAAAAGGATTAGGTTTTAGGAGTAGTAAATACATTTGTACCACTACGTTGTGAATAAAATATCTAAATTCCTTTTCTAGTCATTATAAATGAAGTCCACATACATTGAAATTAGCAAGCAGATAAAATGGATTAGACATAATTAGTCTGAATATAAATGCATTCATACAATATGCAAGGTGAATTATTAATATTGTCATGCATATTTAAAATTAAAATGAGTTTGTTAACCACATAATATAATAAATCTCAATCGAACAAGAAATCATTATCATTATTGGTGAACAATCCCTTTTAATTAATGCGGGTCCCTCAACTCTGTAGCATGATAAATCAACCAATCAATATGTCAATAACTTATCCTGTTGGAGGAGTTCATTATTACTATTGTAGAGATTCATTTGCTATTAGGTGAGCACTTCCATTAAAATAATAATATGTGGGTCCCTTACCCACTGCATGAAAAATCGGATAACCAATACGCTAATAACTTATTCGGTTGGCGAAGTTCATTATTGCTATTGGCAGGCAAATCACATCATTTCCATATCTCTTAAGACAATGCCTTGTCTATCATATGAAATGTTTCCCGATTTTATTTAGCCTTTCTAAAATCACCTAGTGTAGACCACTCCGTTGGGGAGCTAACACTATTGATTTTAGATTGAGTGTATAACGTTATTAATACTCTAACGAAAAATAAAACATTAAATATGTTGTCATTATAATCTAGACTCTTTAAATCATGCGTAGGGCCTTATTTTTAAAGATCTAATTATAATGAACATTTAATATTATTATTTTCATGAGATAACCATTCTTATAAAATTAAGACTCTTCAAATCATGCGTGGGGCCTTATTTTTGAAGATCTAATTACAATGGTGTTAATAACGAAGGCCATGGGGCAATGTATAAAAATCCCCGCTCCCACTCAATTTTTTTAATCATTCATAATTAGGGTTTTCATTTTATTCAAATACATGATATGATGCATGCTAAACGTCTTGATTTTAATCCAATTAAATTTAGAAAATATTTGGACTTTAAATGATTCATTAATATTTAATTTGAAGCACACTTTAAAAATAATTTACAAAAATAAATTTTTCGTTTCCCAATAAGTGCCCTCAAATTAATTAATAATCAAATCCAATTAATTTTCATAATTTAATTAATATAAATCAAGTCATTTAATTAAATATCATGGATCCAATGCATGAACAATAATTATCAACAATTAATTATTCCATGCATCAGAAAAATAAATAAATGACAGACAGAAACAAATTAAATGGCCAATGGATTCCGCTTTTAACATTTAAATGCTCTAAGTATTGCGTGAGGACCAATCAAAGGCTTGTGAACACTTGCAGAGGCTTGTACGCGTATAAATTGGTCAAAACAGGAACTGAAGTAGCAAAACAGCGCGTGACATGCGCTTCCACGCACTGTTACGCGCCTGAGGAAGCATTAGCGCGTCATCACGCGCATGTACATGCCAAGCACGCGCTCCACACGCACCTTACGCGCCTGGACGCGCCTGTTCAAGTTTGTGGCACGTGGCACGAGCTGCCACGCGCCACATGGCGCTGACTTGGTCTCTGGCGCGTGATGATCACGCGCCAGCTCATTGGTGGTCCACTGAGTCTTCTAAAGCCGCGTGACACTTGATCTCCTCATGTTGCTGATCATACATCCTGTGACTAAAGTTGCGGTTGCACCATATGATGGTGCATCGCGAAGCGCTGGAACAACCATCCACCTTTCCGGTGTTGCCCTTGCCGCCAGTGACTCTCCGGTCGCCGGAAAATCGCCAATAAATCCAGAAAAATTAATAAAAATTTCCAGAAAATTAAATTAAGCCTCAAAAAATTATAGAAAAATTCCAAAAAAATTCAGAAAAATTCCAAAAAATTACTGAAGCATAATTTAACCCTTTCGGGCCCTCTTGAAGCTTCATAGCATCATTTGATGAATATTACATGGCTTTTAAAATATTTACAATTTGAAATACAATGAAAAAAATTAAATTACATCATTGAACTTTCAAACGGCTAAATCAAAGCCTTAATTACAGTCATCCAAAGATAAAATTACATTCAATTAACCTATAAGCTTCATCCATGGCCCAAACACACATCCTCATCCATTCACAATTATACATACATCATCATGTATCAGTATATTAAATTATACATCAATATATATATAAAATTTGGATCCATGATGATGATTTTGATAAAAACATGATCTCTAGTAATGAATCAAACCATACTCTGATACCACTGTTGGGAAACGTGCAAGTTTTAAAAACTTTTCGAGGGATTTTGATTCATAAATCTTGATTTATCACATAGAGACAAGTTTTATGCAAAAATAAAAATATGATGTATCATGCAATTAATGGATTGAATACTTACATCAAAGGTCTGAGCAAACCTTTAAATCTTTCCTCTAAAGTGAATGTTCTCACTTATTGTAGATCCCTTAGCAAGATGCCTTCTCCTCAGATCTCTATCTTCTTGGTAATTGTTTTGCCTTTAGGAATCACTCATAAACCTCCATGAATGACCTTAGAAAATTAAGCTTGTAGGAGCCTCCATTAGATGAGAACATAAACCCTAATTTTTTAGAGAGAGAAAATTTATTCATTTTTCATTCTTTCAAAAATCACACCCAAAATATACATAGACCATGTATATTTATAGGCAACATAAAAATAAAGAAAAGGAAATTTCAAATCCTTCTCAATCTCTAATTCATATGTCTCAAATCTAATATGATTCCAATATCAAATTGGGCTATGAGTGAGAATCCATTAGGCCTATTATTTTATTGGCTACAATGAATTAATAATCTGCCCGGTCTATGGACCCAATTCAATTAATTCATAAATTAATTTCTACTCCACTAAAAGAAATTAATTGAACTCCAATTAAATAATAAATAACCTCTAAGTCAATATTACACTTTGACCCCTCTATTCTTAATTAGTTATTGGATAAATAAAGCCATCAATCCGACTACTTAATTAATATATTTATTTTGGTACCATTGATTATTTCTGGCTCGATCACAATAAAACATTTGTTTGACAAAAATAATAATTTAAATAAATAAATATATAATAAATCATTTTGTCTAAAAACACGTGAAGGCCTTCGAATTTACTTTGTGATCAACCATAATCAATACAAAATAAATACAAGTAGTAATGATGCAAATATTGAAAATATAACCCTCTAATTATTAATTACATAACTATCCAAAGTGTCGGTCTAAGGATCCCGAAGAATCCGCCGAATAAATCAAAGTAATTATTAATTAATAAAAGAGTTTATAATTTTCTCATGCTTAAGAGTCAAATGTCATGACGGTGATAGGGAGCAATTGCATACGACGGCTCTCGCAATATATCTCAACCTAATGCGGATCCAGTTCAAATCTTAATTAATTATAAGTCCATCCATAATTACCGACTATGAACCATTTATGATTACTATTTATATATCATGCATTGATTGCCATTACATACATACATATAAATATCTCTTGTAATCAAATGAACACTATCAATTCTATAATGAATCGAAATATAATACATTGTATTCACCAATTGTATAAAACATAAATATTTCAGAAACGTCAGGAACATATGTCCCTTTAATCCAAACAGGAATTTGCTATGCCATGGCATATAAATCCCAACAGTTGGTCCGGGGTTTACTTTTGATTCATTTGTCCCTTGATATTTGTTAATGGATGGTTATCTGTATGTGAAATGTGTCGGCGGAGATAGCTTGTATTCCCTCCGTCCTATAAAATAAAATAAAAAATGTCACTTTTATATAATCGTGACTCACAAATTGAACAATTCCTCACAAATTGAACAATTCCTCGTTAAGGATACTTTTTTTTTTGAAACGGAAGTAATATATTGGATGCCATGTGACTGGTAATGATTGAATGAAATGAAGAAAAAAATTAGACGAAAGACACAGAAAGTTTGAGGACAGAGAGTGAGCCGAGATTTCACAGATGGGGCCGAGACTCGGTGCAGTTGATGGCATAGTGTTGAATTCTTTTACAGTGTAGGATCTTCTTATTTTGAATGGTTTGAATGATTTTTTTAAAATTTTTTATTAACTGTTATTTTGTTAAATTTGTATATATATATTTTGTTTAAAAGTATATGTATATTTTTGTGAAGTTGTTTTTTCATTAAACTCTTTGAAATGCTTGGAATGATTTTAACTACTAGGACTTTCCCGCCTCACTTCCTTCCTGTTTCAGGTACCAAGGATGAACTTGGATTACTAGTTGCGGGCTAAGTGGAAGAGTTGGGGTTGAAGAATTATTATTTTTTATTTTGAGAGATACTGTTTTTTTTTTTTTTTTTTTTTTGGAGGAATTGATTATGTATCAATAACGAGATTTTGTGTTTTTTTTTTTTTTTTTTTGCCAATTCTGCTCGTTTAAAAAGAATTGTATAACTTAGATAGGTTTTGATTAAAATTTTTTTAACTCAATTATAATTCAAGTCAAATTCAAAGTATGATAAATAATCAACTAATCTGAGTCAACCTGAAAATAATCTACGTTAGTAACATTAATAATTTTTTTATTAATTTTTTTTTGTAAAACCCTAACTCAATGGTCCCAAATTCCCAATCATCCATATCTACTAAAAAATAACTTGACCAACTCATTTGTTATGCTCTGACGTTTAGACTGGTCTTGCCTTCCCGAGTCGTAATAGTAATTTCAATTTTCTTCTTCCTCCGATTTTCAGCATAGCAGAGGTGATGGATATTGCTCTATTCTCCCCATCTTCGCTTTTCGCCGACGAGGATGTCAGCTCAGATGGTACTTTCTCTCTCTAGCTTCCTCGACTTGATGTGTGTATATAATTACTGGGTCATGTTTGCACTTTGCAGATGAACAAACGACGAAGACCGACCAGAGCTACGTGCAGAGAAGGCACCAATTCCCTGAATTTGTAAGCATAATCACATTTTTTTTTCCAGCATTACCGGTTAAGAACAGTGTGTTATTAATATTTCAGATTGTTGGGGTGATTTTGTTTTTCATTTTGATCTACAACAGTAGTGATTCAGTGTGGTGCATCAATTTCTTGTATTTTGTTTATGTCTTTAACTTTACCCATCAATTTTTTGAATCATTTCTTTTCTTCTTAATATTGGTTTGACTTATCACTGTTCTAAAATGATTCTCTAGATTTTGTATTTTGATTTTTAAGTTTCCTTTTAGGTTTAGTTAATTAGGTGTAATTAAGGATGATATATAGGTTATACTAAAAAAAATCATTTGTGGTTGATAACATTTGTTACTGTTATAGGCTATGATAGAAGTTTCTTTTTTAATTTGTTGGAATGAATTTGTAGTCTTCCCCATATCGGTGATATGTTCCTGTGGTCACAAATTTTATTCCTTGTTGAAGCGAGGAAATTTTTTGTTTGTGTTAATAATTGGGGGAATTGCTTTAAAGGTAAAAAAATTGTTACAAACTCTAGGAACAATTAATCGTAAAATTGATTTTGGTTTGAAAATTTATATTGTTAACCACCATCTACTCTAAAAACTTAAGTTATTAAGGAGGGTGTAACTTTAGTATTTAAACTCTCTAGCACGCATCTTCACGAATGGCCTTCTTTTTAGTCCTGCACTTGTTTCTATTTTAATTATGGTGCTAACTCAAGACCTTACCTACTCTGGTGCCATGTTAAGCATCATCTACTCTAAAAGCTTAAGCTGTTAGAGAGAGTGTAACTTTAATATATAAATCCTCTTAACATATTTAAAGTCTATGATGAACAGATAGCGCTATGAAAAGACCTAGTTCTTTATAGACTGTTGTCTCTATGACTTCTGAACTCTTGGGAAGTGAATGAACTTTGAAACTTATGGTTGGCCAGAAATCAGAAGGATATGAAAGAATGGAGCTTCTTGGTGACTTTTATTAACTGGTGGAGGAATCTGCCTCTTTTTAGTTCGTTTAGGTGCTTGAGATTGAGAAAAGGAAATATTGAACCATTTTAAGATGCACACAATTGTAGCTCTGTGCAAACTGCTGCTGATAGTGTTCTGTTTTTTATTTTTTGGGAAATATAGTATTCTTGAATGTTATTATTGTTTTCAAGTCATCATTATTCCGTGGCCAAATGTTTTTCCCTTGATATTGGATGGATATATTTTGTGTTTGATATGAAATCATGCTCTTAGCATCTCTGTATATGTTTTGGCTTATTGCAGGAGTTGCTTATTCGAGAATTTTCTTTTCACCAGCTGAATGCTAATTTACTTTGGCCAGGGACATTTGCATTTGCAGAGTGGTTAGTTAAACACAGGTCATGGATAGAAGGAAGGCGCACCATAGAATTGGGCAGGCATGTTGTTGATTGTACTTAAAGTACTGGATTATTCTATTGGTTCAATTATTTCAATAGAAATTTTATTTCTCTCAAGCTTTGCCTAGCTCAATCATTTTTTATTCCTTCCAGCTAAAGACCTTAGAACTTTAGCATCCTCAGTAGTGTCTCGATGGCTAATTGACCAATTTGCCTAGTCATAAATTTTTTATGTGAGCTTGACTGTTTTTTTTCCTTTCAAAATTGTGTTCCTGGTGGTTATTCTTCTATTTCATTGCAGCGGAACTGGAGCTTTAGCCATTTTTCTACAAAAATCGTTTCAACTTGACATCACAACTTCAGATTATGATGATCAGGAAATTGAAGATAACATAGCTCACAATTGCAGCGTTAATGGAATTGCACCCGTCCTTCAACACATAAAGCGTTAGTTCCTTTTCTAATTAAGCCTTAGCTCTTATATCGTTATATGTTGTAAAAGATGGATCCAAGAAAACCATTTCAAGGATTCTTGAGAGATAAGATGCTTGTATTTGATGTTTTTGACCTTTGTCATCATAGCTGGAAAAGTTTTTCTTTCCTAGTATTAAAATATTTTCGAGATTAGATGTTCTCAATCATCTTAGGATTATTAAAATAAGTATATTATTTATGTTTCCAGATTCATGGGGGGATACCTTTCCAACTGCTGACCCAGACTGGGACCTGGTTATTGCTAGTGACATTTTATTGTGTAAGTGCCCTATCTTGCATTAGCTTCTGCAAATGTACTTTACTCTCTGTCTCCCACTTGACCTGATAAAACGTATGCTTCAAATATCTTTCGTTGTCAATTACTCGTGAATGGAAAGACGTTTATGATTTATGAAATGTCTGAAATATAGCAAGGAAACTGGCACGAAAAATTGAATAACAAATTTAGGAACAACTATTAGTGCATCTTTTCATGTCAATTGGCCTATGTGAGTTGCCTCATGATGATGAGTTGCTTGCTCCTAGGAGGGATCTTAGGGAGTGCAAATTTTGCATTCACTCTAGTGGTAATGGAAGGCACACTATTGCTTTCATTAGCTGGGTTTCAAATAAAAAGAAGCACATAGCACTTTCTTGAATTTAGTTGGTTGTTGAGCTTTATTTGTAAATGATTGATAATATGAGCCCCTAAATTAGCTACAAAACTAAAATCACTTCTGAGGATTACTGGGAAACTTTATAATTTTTTGCTGTGTTACAGAAATTCTCCTATGGTCGTGACATGGCATGACGTGGGTACAAGTATGGGTATGGGTATGGGTATTGGATATGTGTTTGACACGAAAACCAAATTGGACACCTAGATCCTTCGCGTGTGATGATTAAAGAAGAATTAAAAACTCAAATTTGATAGCTGAAAAAAGTTTCCTATTTATGGAAACTCCTTTCTTGACCACATGTCATTAAATTAAATTATAAGCAAGTGCATTCTTAAAGAACAACAATATCTGATATTACACCAAGATATATTGTGATTAAATACATAGTATGTATATAGGTACCTGTATCCAACTTTTGGATACATTTACCCGTGCCTTAAAATTTGGAATTTGAGAAGGTCCTACACCTAGAGATGCACCCGCACCCAGTACTTGTATCTGATTTCATATAATATGGAATTTTAGCGAGAGATCTTTCCTTTGTATTCTTACTGTTGTTTCTTCTTTTCTATCCATTTCTTAAAGTAGCTGTAAGTATGCCACCCAACATAGCTTGAGCGATATATTCTCCACCTCCCAAACAAGGTTGAGGGTTGAAGTTCCAGTTGGGACAAAGTGGATGTTTGTTTCCTACTTTTAAAAAGAAAGAAAGGAAAGAAAAAAAAAAAAGGGACAAAGAAGAAAGGATGGCACCCAATCAATTTTAGTTCTTGGAATGACCTACTAATTGCTTTCCTAGAACATGGAAATATATCTCTGGAAATAAAAATTAGCAGACAAGTTTTTCATTTACCATTTTTCCGCCTCATTGTGCTCAATTTAGTTCCTTATTATGTACCGCTTTTAATGTTTTTGTAGATGTGAAACAGTACTCGAACTTAATAAAGACTCTTTCCTTTATCCTCAAGTCTTACAAGCCAAAAGTTAATGAAGCAGTTCCTCACACGGATATTGAGCAGAATGGTGGTACTATGCTATCTGATTCTGTAGTTTTACGTAGCAGAGACTATCGTTGAACAGCTTGTTCATTGTCTTAACTTTTTTTCCCACAGACACATGCTTGGGGCTGCCCCAGCCAGCATTTTTAATGAGTTGGAGACGCAGAATTGGAAAAGAAGACGAGTCACTCTTCTTCACTGGGTGCAAGAACGCTGGTCTCGAAGTACAACATCTTGGATCACGTGTGTATTGCATTACGTATAGAGAAACAACTGTCAAGGAGACGGCATAATGTTGATAGTTGTAGCTAGTTGAGGTAACCACCGTCCGACATTAGAAGGATCGGCCCCTATCCTATTAGCAGAGTTGCCTACCTTCAGTTCCTACTTCAAAAGCTGATATTTTTCTCTACTTTCTTTAGTGATCTTCCATACAAATTTTGAACTCCAACATGGAAGTGATCACGGGAACGCTTTTGTATGCCCTGTGTCCATTTTATGAATATATTGAAATAATTAACAATAGAAAGTTTGTTACTTTCTGTAATTTGATATTCTTTCTTGGCATTTCCGAGTGGATTTGGAGCATCGCTAGTTGAATGACTTGCTTTAGTTTCTTGGAATTGCAATTACCAAAAACACACATAGCTGTGCTGTGATAAAGAAGCCAAGTCCCTGTTTTTTTTTTTATCTGATATCATAAATTGGCAAATTATTTACAGATTAGCAAGTCCTAAAGTTGATTTCTTTGAGTAATTTTTGGAGTGAAGCTGTCTGACAAAACAGAAAATTAACACTGAAAAGCTTTATGTGAAATACAGAAAGCAAGACAAGCACATACATTCATTCATACGAACCCCAAAATGGATAGCTAAAGTAAAAAGCTTGCTGTGATTGCTAAGTACCGAAAGGAAACGAACAAACCTTATCATTTAAAAAAAGGCAAGCTTCAAGGATTAGTAACACAAATAACTTAAATATTACCGACCAAACTATGCAGTATATATCTATGCCAAGAATTAAATACACTCAAAATCAAAGGTGTTACAAAAAGATGGTGTAATAATCCTAGCAAGCTACTCCGCAAAAATTCCAGTCTAGCACGTCTTTCTAAATCAAAGCCCCCGATGCTACAAATTACAGGCTGCTCAATAATTCTCATAACAGATACGGTTTTTGTGGGAAATAATCTCCACGAAAGAATTGGCGACAAAAAAGAAATCTCGAAGCCAAAACTCTACATTGATTAATCACTAGTGCTCCGATTTTTGTTCTTGCGATTTTCCTCCAGGATTCTTTGAAACTCCTTCTCACTGGCAGCAATTACACGTTTGACTGTGTCAAAGGTGGTAAGCCTAATGCTGTATTAAGAAAAAGGAAAGAAAAAAGATTAATGTCAAGCACTGTGGTAAGAACAATGCAACGAAACATGGCGAATAATGACGAGATCGACTCGATTCTTTTTTGTTGACAAAGCATGTAAGGTGGCTTGGCATCACACTTGTCGTCCACTGAAGAATATACTACAAGAAGGAATTCTAGAGGAAGAACAGTAGCGAAGATACAACAGGAAGGAACTTGAACCTGCTATTTGGTAGATTTTTCAATGCATTGGGTACAAAACCCCTATACAATCCAATTAAACCATCACGTGCCACAATACCTACATCAACAAGATCAAAGTAGATAGTCAACGATTGGTGGCTTTATCTAGTTAAGAAATAGACAAAAATGCTTTCATCTTAAAAAGAAACTCCCAACAGGGAATTGAAAATCACAGCAAAAAATTTTCGACTAGTAAAGATCACAGCAATTATCAACAGTAGAAACATTAAACAATATCTAGAAAGGGTAATCCTGATTAATTTGATCTGGACCTTCATAACTAAACAGGATACAAATGCATATTCAGAAAGCTGAGAAATAAAATATATACATATATATATATATATTGGACTCTTTTATACACAGAAATGCATCACAAAAGCAAGCATGGATGTTATGTTTTATTTTGTTTAGAAATTTGAATGTGCGTACACAAGTAACTCCTTTTTCTAGAAAATAGAATGTGTGTACACAAGTAACTCCTTTTTCTAGAAAATAGACTTGATGCACTGATGTACATAGTACATACAAGTCCCCTATTCCTGAAATACGATGTTTCAACAAATCACACGATAACCACAGTCAAAATGAAACCTATATTGAAGTCTATAAGTATACTTGTGTTACCAGGAAAAGTCTTTTTTTATTTTTATTTTTTATGTTTTTTTTCTGTGCAATGATAATAAAATCATATTTACATAATGAGCCTCAAACAGAAACTTGAAATTCTGCAGGGAACTAACTAGATATGAAAATAATCACGAGGCAGTGTAGGAGAATTAAGGAATCAAGGGTTGATGATGGAAGCATTGGATTAAACACAGAAATCCTAGGAGATTTCGGGTAAGATAAGCTCAGACGCAAGAGAAATTTGGCGGAAATGGGGAAAGAAGTTGGGGTCTAAACAGAAATATAGGAAACGAGGGGCAAAAGCTAAAATCAGTAGCATTCGATCATTATACTGACGTTCGATCAAACAACTTAGGGTTGTGGTGTGCCAGACAGGCTGGCAGGTTGATGTGACACAGTGGAGTTTGATTGATTGATCAATGCAAGAGCCAAAAAAAAAATGTACACTTGGCATAACTAGTGGCGCCTGAGGCTTCATGCAAGGGCGCCTATAAATAGGTCCCTTGGCTGCCAAAATGAAGTGTAATCAGAAAGAAAAAATAGAGAGGGAAGAGAACAGAGCAAGAGAGAAGGAGAGAAAGGAAAGGAAAAAAGAGAGAAGAGAAAGAAAGCATGGTGACTCCTGCAAAGAGACCTCGCAAAATCTAGTAGAAGTGACCTCCATGAAGAGATATGCATGCTGGTGCGAGCGGCAACTATATGTAATCCAAGGCAGTAGACCATCAACAACTACTGTTGATTTTGGTCATTATAGAACTGAGAGTAGTTGATTGAAATTATTTTTTTATTTTTTAGTTGATTGAAATTGACTACAAGAAGTTTCTCAAAAGTGAAACTGGTGGCAAGAAATTGATAGTCATTGCCAGTCAATAATCTAGTCCCAAAGAAAGGACTTTTGACAACCAGATGACCTATCTAACGGTAGTACACCAATAAGTAGAACAGGTAGCCGCTGACCTAGAACTGCTGCCAAATAGTAATCGCGTCCTAAAGAAAGGAATATTCAACCACAGGATGACCCAGGTTGTAAAACTACACTAAAAAGTAAAACAAGCTATGATTGACCTGTAATTGCTGCCAAACAATAAACTAGCACTAAATAAAGAATAATCAAGGATCATCCCTAATCTGTTGTATTACACTATTACATTACTTTTCTGGTGTGCTACGCTGTGCAATTGTTGTCCTATGATTTTGAACGATGTGATTAACAATGGATGACTAAGAACAATTAAAGTTGTTATTTGTTTGGAGAACTAGATGTTGTTCCTTACAGAGTATTCGTGCTCCCTCCCCGTTTATCCCTTTATAGGTGTATTGGCTAACTTGGGTGAAACTGGGAATTGGTTGTGCTCAAATTTTATTTTATTTTTTAATTATTATTTTTCATTGGCAAGAAATTCACACAGCCGACTCGAACCCTCCCCTTCTAGTTTGGTATTGGTTGTGTTCAATTAAAGGGGGAGATGGAGAGAGAGGTATTTTCTACCAAGAAAGATACCATGTAATGTAAAGTTTCCAGCGTAACAATAATCAGGTTTTTTGGACAGGGTTTGTTATTTTGGCTACTGTGGATTTTTAAATTTTTTAATCTGAGGTTTGTAAATTAAGTTCCAGTAAACGTAAACTCATCCCACACCTTCTGAACAAAAAGGTTTAGGGGACCCATACCTGACCCAAGCATCAAGGTCACACACTAATCTCGGAGCTGGAAGGACAGAGTGAGTGTAAGAAAGAAGCCCTAAGCCATAGACAAAAATCATAGGATATGAAAGCAAGATTACACGTTTGACAAAATCTTCATAATTTAAAGGCATAAAACCATATATATCCCGACAATAAGTTCAAATTTTCCACATATGATTTGTAAGGAAGTCATAGAGGCTGGTAAGGTATCGTCATACTTGGAAGAAAAAACTACACTCATCTTCATAATTTGAAGAGAATTTTTAAGAATCACCAACCATGTTAATTTCTGACTGACAACATTTAAAAGGGGAAGCTTATTGCAGGTCCCAAACACCAAAATGTGTTCCAATCTTTTTAAGCTATCCAACTTATATACTGAAGACTTAATCCTAAAACTGAAGAAAAAAAGTTTTGTCAATCATATAAACACCAAGGAATGTCTAAGTGGAATGCTTCAAACTTATTTCACAGCTTCATTTATACAAAATTTATCCGCATTCAATAATGCAATTTATGGCCGTTCTATTAGTTTACCATTATTAGTAACCAACAGACTCAATTTACCTGGAAAGGCATCCAAAACTGTCTTGTAAGGTGTACCCCTCATTTGCATTTGTCTTCTCACTGTGTCCAAGGGATAGCACATGAGTGTGGCAAGAGTAGCTGACACCAAAGCTGTTGCTAGAGATGTTTCGGTCCTCTTCTGATACTTCTCTGGCAATGACTTCTTCACCCTGACATTGATCGGGTAGATTCAAGTTCTATGAAAAAGAGACTCTATTTGTGTTTTTCCTCAATAAGCTGTAGATAGATTATTTTTCTGATGAGTAAGCTCACAAGTCAAAAATGCAAAAGTTCACAGCAATGTAAGGAGCTATTCCAATAAGAGAAGGTCCAAGACCATTGTAAAATGATGCAACTCCTTCCTCTCTTAGCATGTTCAAGGCAACCTGAAAACAGTTAAATGGAATTTATCTTCATATAGGGAGGTTTCGTTCTCAAAAATACAATTTAAGTTGGTCTATCTTACCTGAGACATAGTTAGGTGCCCTGGCTCAACTGCTAATCGTAACCTTAGGACATCTAGAGGGTAGGTTACCTAAAGAGAGAGTCAAAGAACCAAAGATTTGAGCCCATAGATAGACATGTATAAAAAAAATAGAAAATGAGACTGAAAAGAAAAAATCTGAAAAACAGAAAAGAAGAACCCAAACAAACAGATAAATTAAAAGTAGAATTTAAAGGTAAAATCATTTGCTATATTACTAACAAAAGTCGAAGTCATGCCAGCACAAGCACCAGCCGCAAGTCTGCCAATAACAGAAAGCTCACCATCCTTTCCCCTAAAAAGTTTCTAGCAATTCGAATGTAAAATACAAGTCAGATGTTTTTAACATCATAAACTCTAAATAAAAATATAATGGGGACAAGATATAATTATAACTCTCTCTCTATTACCTTGTACGTTTCATAGGCAAACAACTGAACAGCACTATAGGGTATGATGCGTATCACCTGCAAAAGTTGACATGAACCTTTGTCTAACTCCATCGAAATCTTATCTGAAAACTTGCGCAAAAATTTTGAAATACTATTTAGAAAATTCTTATCCGCTCATAGAGAAATTGGAGGATGCAAACAACCTGAGGAAGGTTGCCTTTCCAGTATCCTTTGACTCCTTCTTCCTTCCCTATCATTGCTATGGCCTATAATTCATGTCCGAGTAGGCACAATCAGTAAAATTACAGAGTTTAACAGTTTTTTTTTTTTTTTTTTAAAGGTGTTGTCACATAGAACACATTGTGAGATAGGACTAATAAACACTGAACTAATAGGTGTGAAACCAAAAATAACTAACTTCAACAAATATTCAAATTTTAACCAACTTGAATAACTGAAATTTAAATCATAACTAACCAAGCATGTAAAAATAGTATAAAAGAATCCGCACAAGAACACCAATTTTTATGTAAAAAACCCCCCATAGGAGAATAACCACGGAACCTAATCTAGGAATATCAAATCCACCAGAAGAAGAAGGTTCACAACCCTAGGTATCAGATTCTAACCCTAGAATCACCTAAGTTACCTCTGATCTAGACAAACCACGAATTCTGCTGTTGGCAATCAACAAATCAGCTCCTCATGAGTTCTGCCGTTCAACTTGTGATTTGATCTCCTTTACTAGTCGCCCAATTCTTGAACTGTTGGGTGAATGTGTTAATGCATTGAACTCCTTGCACTAGGATTAATGATAATCAACAATCAAAGAACACTCACCATCCAGATGATTGATGACGAATGAAAGAAATACACGATCTCAAAAAGGAATAGAGGTCCAAATCATTGTTATAGGGACAATTTAGAAGCTATGTCGCATGGACTTGAGTATGTATATTGGGAGTTACGAAAACTTCAACAAGGTAGGCTTCATAAAGCTCATTTTATTCATTGATTAGAATTCTATCTAAATCAATACTGGAAGGATGAAATGACTAGATGCGGACCAGTAAGCTTCCAGCCACCCAACCAATACTATCGTCCCAACCTGCCTACCGATTCCTTACTAAGTGAGTGAGTTTTTCCCTGTTATAAGGGGGGTCTCTCGTTGCGGTTGTGTCTAGGTGTTAGACCTTCTTATTCCATATCTTAGGATATGGATACTTGGTTTGAAATGTCTCTTAAATTTGGAAGTAGGAACAAAGAAATGTCCTGCATGCTTAAATAAATTTCATGTTATAAGATAACAAAATTATAATTATATTTTTCTTAAGGATATACCCAACTAAAATTTAATTAAATGTCATGCGGTGAAATAAAGGATCTCCATTTATTTCAAAAGCAGTAAACTCTTCTCTATTATTATATTTGATTTTATTTCCTATTTCCATCATTACTTTTCGAGTATAGTAGTGTCCGTTTCAAGTTTGTGTGTTAGACACATAACATACACCATACCCATATCATGTCGTGTTGACATAAAATATCTCGAGGGGAGAATTGGAGATTCCATTTAACACAACATGGAAGACAAGAAAGGCTTTTGAAAGGAAAAAAAAAAAAAAAATTAAGGAATAGGTCTGAATCTTGATTCCTGCCTAAGCAAGAGAAGTTTAAGAAGCAGAATGAGAACATAATTAGAAGGGGAAGTGGCGTACAGGTAAGACATTACCAAATCAAGATTGCAAAAGAAGATGGATAGTGTACTAATACCCAAGTGCATTACCCAGTGTACTAGTACCTCCAGCAGTTGATGAAAGTAGTTGTATTATATCTATGCTAAGTTTCAGTTGATGAAATTTCTCATCCCATCGATGATCTGGTTACCCGTTCATTGCAACACAGAAAAATGAACAGGAATGAGATCCTGCCCAGGAAATAGTAATGTGGTAAAGTTTAAAATGGCTCAACAGAGTATTGATAGAAAAAGGGGGCTAGCCCAGTGCATGAGACTCCTGCCATTGATGTACGCAGCCTTACCTCCACATGCGGAGAGGCTATTTCCTTGATTCAAACCTGTGATCTCCAGGTCACAATAGAGCAACCTTACTGATGCGCCAAGGCCCACTAGGAATTGATAGAAAGTGAAGACAATATTTAACTGGTATAACTAGAGAAAACTACATGGAATCTGTATACTGTTGCAAGTGGGCATAACTAGGAAATGGCAAGATGAACAATAACATACCTCAAGGAATCCAATTCCCTTCTTTGCACTTTCCTGCCCAGCTCTTAATCCATGAGTCTGCAAACAGATCAGATCAATTGGGACAACAGACAAACAATTCCCCATGAAACTAGCAGACAACATGTTAATGACTTAATGTACAAACAGAAGAAGAAGAAAAAAACATATTCATACATACAATTAAAGAAAAATTGGTTGATCAACTACTCAGACCATTCTTTAAGTTTGAAGTGAAAATGATTCACAAAACTTCCATAATTATGCCTGCTACACTAGATTAAAAATATATATATTCCTTACTTTAATTGAGAAAGAGGTTTGTGATAAAGTAATCCTTACTTTTATTTTCAGATGGTAATCTTTAAATTTGACATTTATGAAAAGTGATATTACAATAAAATTCTTTAACTGAATTTTTATTTTTTCCTTTGCTTTCAAAAGTTTGGAATCAAGTATAGCATTTTCAAAGTTCCTCTTTGAACATTTATAGTCGGCTTTTAAAAGCAGATCCTATTTCCCAATAAAGTAACAAACAAATTGACCCTCTTAACAATAAAATATGTGGCCAGTAGACATGCACGAGAGTAAGCTTGGAAAAATAATTCAGCAAAGAAGTAAAATAATCCTTTAAAAGAAAAGAGCAGCTTTCAAATACATCCCAAATAAAAAAAATTCCAAACGAAGATCTCAGTGAATTTATATAAAGGTGAGGAGTATAAAAAAATTTAAACAATTTGTTGAAGAAGATAGCTAGAGGTAACAAAGAGGATGAGAAAAAGTATTGTACCAAATAATTCTAGGATGAGTAGTGGTGAAGTATGACTTGTTTGCAAGTTCGACAATGAGATGACATATGATCACATCAATTGAGGTTCTTTCTTCATGCCATGGAGAATATGGGTTTGGGGGCTACGTAAAGGAGCTGGATGAAGGAGAAAATTTCAATTGTGCGTTTCTCCACTCTTTTAAATGGTTCCTTAACAGGCTTCTTTCAAGGCAGGGAGACCTTCTCTTTCCTTTTCTTTCCATCATGGTATCAGAGGTGCTGAGCAGTATGTGAAGACGAATGTTGATAGGGGTGGTTGGAGTCATTGGAAAATGTCTTTTATGCGGTTTGCTAATAACAGTATCATGTTTCGCAGAGTTAAGGAAAAGTAGTAGAAGTACTTTTGTTGTATCTTGTAGTGTTTTGAGGCGACACACATACTTCTACTACTTTTCCTTGGTTCTGAAAATATTGACACGACAAGACACTGATATGGTAATACGGAAAATTGTTACAAAATAGGATACAGATACGGCAACAGATATTATTCTAATGCAGACATGTATATAAATTAATGTATATATAGATACATGTATCTTTGGATAAATTTAATTAAAAATTGTTTTTTGTTCTATATTATTTCTAACATTTCTTTATAAAAAATAATGAAAAAAAAGCTTATAGTTGATAGTTATATTGCATAGATAAATTTTGGACAAAAATTAGTCATGTTACGTATATTAATACTTCATGTTGGGAAAAATTCTACACTTTTATAAACAATTGTAGTATGATATTATACCGGAAATAGTTACAAGACTTGTTAAATATGTGTATCTAAAAAGTATCATATGCGTGTTAGAAATTAAATATATATATATATATATATATATGCATATATTAAAAAAAACCACAGATATATTTAGGAAGTATCGGAGTATCTAAGAAGTGTTGCCATTTGACATAGACAAGATAGTATGTCCCCTTATTGAAGTATCTTGTACATGCAAGAAGGAAGAAGCAAGTACCAATCATCTTCTAAAGTCAAAAGAGAGCACCACCATCTTCTCTTACATTGAGTGGTGTCTCAATACATTTTTTGCTTATCCTTCTTTCTCTATATATTTCCTTTACTATCTCCTTTTTCTTATGCTAAGGTCGGTTACCATAGCAATTTTGTTTTCTTTCTAGTAAGAAGCCTTACAGTTATTCATTGTGTTTTTAATCGATGGGTGAAACTGCAATAGTTCTCTCAACCAATCCATTCTCTCTTATCATCCTGGCTTCTCCCTCTTCCTCCATCTAGATACACTGTGATCACGCACGTTATGGGGCATCATCTTATACTATACATGTTCTCTTAAAATTTTAACAAAGAGATTAACAAGCTAGAAAATTATTCTAACTCATAATTAAAATAAAACTGGTAACAATAAAGAATGGAACTGCATTAGTTCCGCAAGGCAAGAGAAAATATGTACTAATTGAGACTCTCTAAATACCCTATTTCAACAACAACAACAACAAAAATGCATTCACTAATTTCAGTATTTTGTTCATAATAACAAACATCCCTATATGCCAGATTGCCATGACAGTGATCTCCAGAACAAAAGCAGTACAAAGACCATGAATAGCATCATAATTAACAGAGAATGAAGTCACAGCCTTATCTGAGCAGGCGGGAAAAAATAAATAAATAATTACTAAATTAGCCCATGGGCAAAAATTAAATTGCTAAACACAAGTGAAAAAATAACAAATTTGGGGCAAAATATTAGAACCAGACCTGCATAAGAAGTTTGATTCGGTCAAGCGGTGCTGTGACGGTCTTGGCGGCGGCGCCGGCAACCGCACCGGCTGCGAACAGCGCGGCCTCTTTGGGCACCAACGCAACCATCGCGAGTGGATGCTCCAAGAGCTGCGCAGTGGTGGGCGCGAACTCTCTCTCCTCTCTTTTCTCCGCCAAAGAAAGACAGGCAAAACCACCAACTCCGTTTCCATTACTCAGCCATCTGTTCCGCCATTGTTCTTTCTCCGTTGGTTCGATGGAATCGCTGTGAGAAGGGTCGAGACCTGGAATGTGTCGGCAAACTAACATGGCTCTTTCTTCTATCGCCTTTCGTCGAATTGAAACAGAGGAAAGCTTAACTTGCAAGCTTTCCTCTGTATAGAATGGCAAATGTAAGAGATAAGGCACTGCCTATATATATAGAGAGAGGGTGTGTGTGTGTGCGCGCGCGCGCGTGTGTGGGAGAGAGAAGAAATGGAACCGAAGTGCGACTTATTACTGTATTCTTCTTGTCCCTTTCTGCCTCATTTGATTATGTGTGTGCTGACCTATACAAGTGCAGGTGAACCCATTAATGGTAGTTCCATCAAATAATTGCACGTAGTAGTTAGAAAATCTATTTTAAAGATATTCTCACTCATTTTTGTCATGATGTGATTCTGTATGCATGTTTGCTTAACTTTTCAAAATATATACACACACGCATATATTGACATATTGAATGTCATATAAGCACTTCAGTTTTATCCTATATTTAAAACATATGCAATAAAAGCTCTTAACGTTACTCTTGTTTCTACCGATAAGGGTTTTTTTTAAATAATAATAAATAATAATAATTACATTTTGATATAAACTTACTCTGACCTCCTTTGAAATTCTAAATAATCACTTAACTTTGTTAAAATACTCTAATTCTTATAATATATAATAATCGAATGTTCCCCAATGGAACCAAGCTGTTCGAGACTGAGTCCAAATATGCAATTAGAGCTGAACATTGCTTTTTAGTTATACATTGTTGTTCTCTTTGCTTCCTCAGAATAATTTCATTTCAACAGTGACTTAACTGGGAAAACAAACAAACAAACAACAAACCAACCTTCTACAAAGGAAATTCTTACAGTTCAATATATTTAACTCTAATATGAGTTCTCAAGCTACAATAACAAAAACAAACAAACAAACAACAAACCAACCTTCTGCAAAGGAAATTCTTACAGTTCAATATATTTAACTCTAATATGCGTTCTCAAGCTACAATAACAAAAACAAACAAACAAACAACAAACCAACCTTCTACAAAGGAAATTCTTACAGTTCAATATATTTAACTCTAATATGCGTTCTCAAGCTACAATAACAAGCAAAAAATTTACCTATTCCAGGACTTAGTATGACCTCAAACCAAGGGCTGGCAATGGCAACCAAAATGAAAAATCATTACACATACAAGCCCCACTCAAAATCTATGGAGATTGCTCTACCAGCTCCCTTTTGCATCACTTAATCGTATGGTTTTCCTACAAAACAACATGATCTCAGCAACTTTGTCGAATCAATAGATTGGCGTGTTGCCTCCGGGTAATGCAATTGTTGCTGACACCAAAATCAAAGTGTTTAGCATACCAATGTGTCAGTGGCATAGCGATATTAACCTCTTACTTTCCAAAAATAGGTCAGAGGTTCAAGTCTTACGAGAGACAAGTGTGTGTGTGAGTACCAACTATAAAAAATAAAAATAAAAAGGTGTTTAGCATCTGTTTTGTTCTTCAGTCATCGGGTAGGGGAAATTTAACTCTCATAAGACTGGAAAAGGAAAGAGGGAGTACCAACATGGAAAACAATATCTTCTCTCATATAATTTTTATAAATAATGAAAAAATGTTTAACTCATAACTGTCCTGGAGGCATGAATTCCCTTCCCAGAATAAAAGCAGCAGTTTGATAGAGAGATCTACTGCTAGCGTTCATGAAGATGTTAACAACCGTCTCATACCGGTTTTCTGCTCTGAAGTAAGCCTGGAAGGGAACTTGATATTGAACTTAATCCTCAAGTTCCCTTTTCTGGAAGGTTCCCTAGGGATTGGCATCCCTTCTCCTCTAACAACTTCTTCATAGGTAGGGCTGATAACAGCATTGATAGGAATTGTCAGATTCCGCCCATCAAGGGTTGTCAGCTGCGCAGTGTAACCTGTCAGAGCTTCTACAAGAGAGATCTTTAGTGTGACAATCAGATCATTTCCATCCCGCTTGAAGATACTGTGAGGCTTCTCATCAATAATGAAGACAAGGTCTGAGGGTATGACTCCTTTCTGTTCATTACCCTTCTCTGGAAAAGTTATTTTTGTTCCCTTCTTCCAGCCCGGTTTGATCTCAATTGTAAGAATTTCTTCAACTGTGGTGGGTCTCCTGGACAGAAGATAAATTACATAAATAAAAATCAATTGAAAAATAACAAAATATGTACAAACAATTATAAAGAGTTTGGTTTAAAATAGCTCTAACTTGCCAATCAGATCTCTGTGCCTCCACTACTACTCTATTATACTTTGCTACTCTTTGGCAGTATATAATCTCCCAAGTCAGACCCACAAGAATGAGCAAAAGCACTTAACTAGGGAAAAAACATAATCTCAATGCGAAACAAATAAGTATTAGCTAAAAGAAGGGGGAGAAAAAGAAAAAGAAGGAATAATGGCACAACATATACAGCAATAAGAGCAAATATTTTGGTCCAACAATGAAGAGTTCAAGACCTTTATAAAAATCTTCTGAAGGAAAAAGGTTAAAGATTTTAATTGCAGAAAAAATGATTTTCGATAACTTCTTGATTCCTCTTCCCAGATTTATCGTTTATTAATTTCCTGGCGTAGTGTGAGATAGAGATAGGCATATCTCATTTTAACAATGACTGAACCAATGAACGAAAGTGGGAGAAATGGAACTTAACCCCCTTTTTCTTTTATGACGGACAAATCACTCCCTGAACAAACTATCCTTCGTATTTATATACATACATTCTAACTTATCAAAAAAAAAATTATATATATACATTCTAACTATATATGAATAGTAACTCATAAATCACTGCAACAAATACGCCTCCCTTTTGTGGTTCAGCAGGCTAAACTTAGTTTCCATTTGCTGTTGTGGTTCAGCAGGCTACAAATGCTTTTAGTTTTAGCTGTATTTTCTTGAGAAAGACAATTTTATAGGAAAAAATAATAATAATAAAAAAACCATGTACAAGAAAAAGAAAGGCACTCCCCCCTATAAACAGTTAGCTGTTTTTGGTAGGCACAAAAAAGTACTTTTAGGCACCACAAAGCTTTTAGCCAAAGCTCAAATTTGATACTTTGCGTATGGAGTAGAGGTAATTTTTTTTGGGGGGGGGGGGGGGGTGATTGTACTTATAGAATGAATGTATTCATGATAAAAGCTTTAACTATTGTATTCCTGATTACTACTGACCTTTCAACTGTCAGCATTTTTTACTTCTCTGCAAGAAAAAATGATCCATTTAGAGAAACAGGCTATTAGAGTATAATCCAAGTTTTGCCTCCTCTCCAAATGAAACTATTATTTTTTAATAAACACAACTAACATGAACAATAATTGAAGATCAAATGAGAGAAAATATGTAAAGATGGTTTGGACATGTGCAAAGAAGACCTTTAAATGCAACTTAGGAAAGGTGGCATTGTCCACATTGAGGATAATACTAGGGGGAGAGGAGGACTAAAGTTAATGTGGGTATAGTTAGTGACGAAAGATATGATAGCATGTGGATTGACTGAGGCTATGGCCTTAAATAGAGCATAATGAAAATATGGGATTCATGTAGCCGACCCCAAATAACTGAGAAAAGGCATGGTTGTTGTTGTTATACAACTAACATGAACACCACCTTTCAAAAAAAAAAAATCACATGAATATAGAATTACAAAGCATAATTAGAAAAATCACCATCTTAATACGTATAGTTTTTTGAAGTTTATACACAAGAAGACGGAACCTAGATTAGTACAACTGAGTTAATGTTTAGCCATAGCATGACTCTCAAATGTAGCAATTCCGAGTATTTACAAAGCCCCAACTCTCAAATGTAGCAATTCGATACGTTTCCAAAGTTAAAATACCACTAGCTGTTTTCCAAAGTTGGAAAATCACCAATCGCTTTAAATGGACCTTCCCTTATCTTCTCATTACAGAAAAAACCCCAACTCTCCCCAAAAAAATTTAAAAAAAAAAAAAAAAGAAAGAAAGAAAAAATACAAGAACACGCCAATTGCATCTTCTCTCTAGTTTCACTTTGTTTCTGGACTATAATTTTTTCCCTTTCTCTCTAAGAGTTTATCTCTCGGTCAAAGATGTTTCTAGAGCAAGCAAAGAACACAATCCACTCTTTGATAGAACGAAAAAGATTGCTACAGAGTGAAGCTGTTAATATAAATCAGCGTCAAATTCTCTCTCCTCCTAGCTAATTACATGGGCTTTCACATTTGTCTGCAATTACAACACTTACACCCACTGTTTACCTCTGTGCATCAGTCACCAATGAGACTCTTTAACATTTTTTTTTTTTTTGATAATTAAAGATGTAGTGACAAGCGTTCAAAAGGGGATCGAATCCCTCAGAAAATACAAGAGACTCTTAACATTTGAGCGAAAGAAAAAGAAAAAGGACCCTTATTTAATATTATAATTACCATAATCCATCAAGAGATTCCATGGTGTTCACCCCCATTTTCTTTCCCCTGCAAAAATAATGTCAAAATGAACAAATTGTTTTTCTTTTTCTTTTTAACTTGCAATCCCTCCCATTGATTTCTTTATGCTTCTAACAATTTTTCTCTCAAGGGGTGGGTGGTGATCTTTGTTTCTTGCAAAAACCCGAAATTGCTAGTGACCTCCAAAGGGGGAAGAAAATGATATTATAGAGTGAGAAGAGACAAAATGAAAAAGAAGAAGAGACAACAATATGCTCCTGAGAAGAGACCCAATTATGCTCTTGCCAGGGTAGGAGATGTTTGATCAATCTGTTCTTCGACCATAAGGACGAGAATATGAAATTACAAATCCCTTTTTTTTTTTTAAGGGAAGATCTAGGCTTTGAAGATGATGACGTGAAATTTTCACGATGGATTTTACTCTATCAGCTAGATAAAAGTTACTGTGGTCCACTTTCCAGAACAAATGATTAGTAGTATTTTAACTTTGGAAGGGCATTGAAGTGGTTTTAGACATTTGCCATTGGATGACATCCATCGGTGAGAATCTTAGTCACACATCAAATTCCTCCGGGACGGGAGCAACTAAATGCCACTGTGTGTGTGTGTGTGTGTGTGTGTAATATCAGTTCTAAGATACCACAAATATGAGAATTTAACAAGCATAAGGTCAAAACACAAAAAACAAAATGCAGTTATGAACTTATGGTTAATGCATCACATAACAATTATTATATTTCTTTTCTTAGACGAGAACTATTTAGAAAAATATAAAAATACAGAAAACAGAAGGGATTTCAAGATTACAGGAACATCCATTTACAAGCCCACCAAAAATGCAAGAAAGTACTAAAAGTATGGAGTATTTTTTAAAAATAATTATAATTATTATTATAGCTTCCACAGATTCAGTCTATTTCAAATATTCGTAAACCTCTAACAAAATCCTTATAACTTTCACGCTACTATGACCATAGGAAAGAAATGAAACTACATATCTAATTTCAGGTTCAGTTTTAAGGAAGTGCATTGTAAGAAGACCTGCATTCTTTCCTTTTCCCACAATTTTCATTAACCAGACAAAGAACAAAAGAATAACAAACTTATAGCTGAAAAGGGAAACTTAATATAAATGTGTGTGTGTGTGTGTGTGTAAGGTGTATATATATCATGCACAGGAATGCAGGTGTCACCATTTCAACACTGTCATGTGTTGGACAAAAGTTCAACAACTCTAGACACAGTCACAACTGCATATATGAAACCTCTATATCGCGGTCCATGTTTACGTTTGTGCATGTCCATGAAAATTCATAAAAAGGAAGTAAATCACAAGAAAAATATGAATTTTATTACAGGTTCAACAAGAAAAAAAGGCACAATAAAGTTTTCTTTTAAGTACAAAAAATATATATAAAAAAAATAGACACACTGCAATTTCCATAGAAAGTGACTTGCATGTCACGATCAAATAAGTCTTATAATTGTTCATATCTCTAATTTTTGCAGTAACATTTTATAAAACTATTTCATTTTCATGTACTTTGTGGATGAAGTTATCTTTATTTTAAATAATAAATACCTTATCAATTCTCAATGCCTGAAAAGCAATTTACTATAAACAATTAAACAGTGCAGAATCTCTATTGTGAGAATATGACCAGTCTTGCAGTTATAGTTAAATCTTAAACTTTTGCAATGTATCAAAACACATAGTATAGCTAAATACAACATTCCACACATCAAACTTCTTTGAAGCCAATTAAAGTAACTTCTTCATGCATAAATAATAATGAGTTATGGGAACTCGTGTGTGTATGAGGCGCAACTAAGTGTTTGAGTCTCAAACTATCAAATCCCCAAAGCCGAATGCCTAGGATACAGCTAAATATATTAATTAAAATTCATCTTTTATTTGCTAGAGTAAAAATATTGATTCTATGCAATAAAAGGAAACTTGAAATACTGGGTGCATGTCCAATCAGTCGTGTTTAACACGAACCCTAAATCTAAGCTTCATTGTTTTTCAACACTCAATATATCATAGATCATAGATCATAAATAACTAACCCCAAAACTAAACAACAAATCAATTGAGATTGGCATTGTAGCTTACCCACTAGTATCAATAACTTCTCTGGAAATCCTCATCTTCTTATTAGCGCCCTTGTATAGATCCTCCAAACTACACGGCTGCGGCTGCTCTATTGGCGCCCCCTTCCTAGGCACAATACTGGACCCCTCACTGCCTCCACCGCGAAATGTAGCAAACATTTCATCAGTAAACATACTCCTCGGAAAACCAGAAGTGCTAGCACGAGACCCTCCCACGTCCCCCATCCCTCCAAATGGACTCGAAAACCCAAAAAACTCAGAGAATATGTCGTTGGCATTGCGCGGATTGAATCTGAACATTGACGGACCACCACCGTCGGATGGTCCGCCAAAGCCACCGGCACCGGGAGGCGGCACCTGTCCCTTCAATCCTTCCTCCCCGAACTGGTCATAGACCGCACGCTTTTGTGGATCACTCAAAACCTAACAATATATAGTACAAACGGCCAAAAGAGAATATATATATATATATATATATATATATATAAACGATACAATGCAATTGTTAATTGAATCAAAAAAATAAAATTGAAAACTAAGAAATTAGGGTTTATGTATATATAGATGTGTGTGTATTTGAGTATATACATACATCGTAGGCTTCGGAGATTTGTTTGAACTTGGCTTCGGCGTCTTTCTTGTTATTAGGGTTTTTATCGGGGTGCCATTTCATGGCGAGCTTTCGATATGCTTTCTTCAAGTCGTCCTCTTTGGCGTTTCGGTCCACCTGAAGAAGCTTGTAGTAGTCCACCCCCATGTTTCCAAGACACAGACACACACTCACTTCACTTCCTCTCTTCTCTCCCTCGTTCTCTGACTTGTTGGTTACTACAACTCGATGGTGTCGATGTGCAGGTCATCAACCAGGGAGAAGATCGGCCTGCAAGGTTTCGTGTGGTCCACCGCTGAGAGCCAATTGGCGTTGCTATCGCTGGGTGATGCTTTTTATAATTAATACCTTTATTTATAGAAAAATAATAATAATAACTGGGTAATACTAATATTATTGAACATAATTTTTTAAAAAAAACCTTTCCTGATTATTACCTTTCCTGATTGTGACGCGTGTACTTTCATATTGTTTTCACAAAAAAAAAAAAAAAAAAAAAAAAAAAAAAAGGGTAATAGAATCTTTTGATTTAACAGGTTTTTTTTATTTAACTATTATTAAATTAGATATGAATATGAAAGACATTTTACACTTTATACATATACAACCACCTGTCGAAATACATTTTTAAAAGTATAAATTTGTAAGGCCTAATTAGTTTGTTTCTCAAGAAACTGTTCCCAAAAACTATTTAATAGACCGCTCTAATAAAATTAGTTGTTTTATTGAGTTTTTAGAATCAGTCTACCAATCTTCTGTTTGTATGTATTTCCAATTTTTTGTTTTTAGAAAAAAAAAAAAAACAAACAGACAAACAAATAAATAATTATTGAAAACACAACCAAAAAGACTGACCCGTTTGGCATGTTATGTGTTTTGAGCGTTACAGATTTTGGTCAATATCAAAATAACCATTTTATTGTAGGGGTGTTTTTTTTTGTAGAAATCGGAAACATATTTAGTAACGAAATTTTGTTTTGGAAAATTCAAAAATTTATTTTAGTTCAACTGCTACAATATCAAAATATATAATATCACCAATTTCAAAGATGTGGACTAATAATATATTAACATATGATCTTTAATTATCAAATCAAATATGGTGGGTAGATATTCACTTATCAAATCAGAAATATCATTTTGAATACCATCTATGATTTGATAATTAAAATAGGACAGTATCACCAAATTAGTGATATTAGTTTTGGTCAAAAAATCTTATATGTTATGAATTATTCCATACCAATATTAGTCGGCCAAACATGATATATGTCCAAATTTGGATACCAATATAAAAATAATAATATCATAATACTTTTCAAACAGGCCTGCTTTATGTTTTCTGATAACCGAAAAAAAATAAAAAATTGTACAAAAATGATTAACTTGTGAAACTTTTTTCCTAAAAAAAACTCAGTTAAAGAAAAAATCAATTTATTTCCATATAAACACTTTTTTTTGTGTTTTTATGAATTCCTAACACGTGGCAAGCCAAATAAACCTTTAATCCTTTACTTTTTACATTTTTTTTTTATTTTTTATTTTTATTCAGTCTACCATCGAATATATTCCCTGTCCTATTTGTGCCAACTTCTAAGCAATTGCCCAAATTTATATTTTTTTATTTTTTTTTAAAAAGTCATAACTTGTCATTATAGTATCTCATTGGAGTTATATAGACGATTATTTTTTTATTTAAAAAAAAAAAATGGGAATAAACATATTCATACAGTCACTTGCTCTTATAACAACTTGAACTTCTAAGGCAAAAACGTACCAGTATACTACTAGGTTTGATATCCTGACAATTAATTCAGACAGCCAAAATTCACACATTATTGAGTGTATAGCTTACTTTTCTTATTTTTGTGAAATACAACAAAAAAAATAAATTACCGATTAGATTAAATTTAACAGTTATTTTTCAAATCCACCTATATCTTTTTTTTGTATTCTTTTTCTTTTAATACAAAATCACTCTCGCATTATTCTTAGTTTTTATATTTAATTTTACCATTACAATATGAATAAAAGGTATAGGTGGGTTTGAAACTGTAACAAAATTGGTTCAATATTTAATTTGACCATTACACAAATTGGATTTAAAGGGTAGAGGTGGGTTTGAAACTGTAACAAAATAAGATAATGGTAAAATTAAGTTTAGAAACTAAAAACAGGGTGAGAGTAGTTTTGTGTTAAAATAAAAAAATATAGATGTGTTTGAAAAATGACCATTAAATTTAATCTTAACGGTCCATATAAAAAGTGTGGATTAATTTTCTTACTCTACGAATAACAAAAGATCAGCACTTACTCTTCAAATCAATAAACTTGACAATAACATTTTAGATTACTTATCTATGCACTCCAACTTGTATTTATAACCTAAGAGGTTACATTCATAATTATGTTTTTTAAGTAAGACATAACCATAAGAGAAGTTGTGTCTGTCTGTGAATATACACCTCTTCAAATTCAAACACCAACGTATATATAATTAATTTAATAATATATTTTTGACACATATAATATTAAATTTTGACTAAATAGACTCAGGACTCCACCATATAACTCATGAAACTTATGTTGTGTTTCGTATGCAAGAATATAATGAAATGAGAATAAGATGGAGTGAAATAATCATTCTCATTCTATTGTTTAGTTACGAATATGGAATAATGTAGAAATGAAATGATAATAACCATTCTAATATTTGATTTAACCAATTTAAAATGTAAAATGGAATGAATTATAAAAAATACCACTCTCAATGACAAATAAATTAAATTAATAAAATACCATTCTTTTATAATTTTTAAAAGAAATGGAGGCGACGGTGAATGGCGGCGACAACGTTGGTGGAGGAAGAAGGCGGTGGAATTGGTGTAGGTAGTGGTGGTGGAAGGCGGCAAGGGTGTAGGTGGTGGTGGTGGTGGCAGAAGGTTGCAGCGACAGAAGACAGTGGAGGTGGTTCTGATAGAAAGGCGATTCAGATTTAGGTAAAAGGCGACGCCGACGACAGTAATGGAAGGCAATGGAGGTGGCGACAATGGTGGAATGCAGCGACGATAGTGATGGTGGAAGTCAGTGGTGGTGTCAGCGACGACGTGTGGCGGTGGAGGCAAAAGGTAGCGACAATGGTGGCGATGGCAGTGACGATGGTAGATGTGGCGGTGGTGAAATGCAAGATTGCAATGAATGTTTTTTTGACTTGAAACATGATCAATTTTTATGGAACTTAAATTTTTTTAAAAAAAAATTTATTTGAAAATGAAATGATCTTTTCGTAAGTTTATTTATGTAATGAAAGTTCATTCCCACTTAAAATTTTATATTAAACTAAAAAAAAAATGATTGAAATGAATATTCTATTCCATCGCAACATTGAAGTGGTCATGTCTGCACTCACCACAAAGCACAACCCTTCGCATTTTGAATATGAACAGTGGTAGCGGACCAGTTAAAGTGAATTCCTCAGCCTATAACCTTTGACGAGGAGTGCAAATTGCAATAACATATACCACCGTCCTTGCTGGTTAGGATTCCTAAAATTTTACAGTTAATTAAATGTCTCCTTTCATCATGGAACATTTAAAATATAAATTTATAGGACAAAAGTGTCACTTTAATTATTTTTTCTTTTCTAAGTTAATCCGTATACATATATAAATACGTGTATATACATATCAATTAAATTCTTATTATGAATTATTATTATTTTCTTTCTATATATATATATATATATTTTATGAATTCTTTTATTTCTTTTTTTTAATTGTATTTCAGCTATATATGAAGTATGTATATAATTACTATATATATATCATCTAATATTTGTTAATCAATATTTCTCTGCTATGAATCCATATATATATAATTATATATATACGAAAGTAACTGTTCGTATATATAGATAGTCAATTTATATATATATACTTGTTTTGATTATGTTTGCTAGCTTTTTTATATTTTTACATATATCAACATTGAAAAAATAGCACGTCAAAGAATTCACTTTAATTAGTGGCCTAAAAATCATTTTTCTTTGAATATTGGCGTGGGGGTGTGTATGTATATATAGATATTTTTTTGGGTTGGTTTTTTAGTTCATTCTTTTATTTAATTAATTAATAATTAAAATTAATGATAAAAGCTCAGAAGTAATTGGTCGAAAGCAAAACGATAGCGTCGTTTACACACGCTCCGCTCTCTCTGTTTTTAGTCTCTTTCGCGTTACATTACCTGCCAGATCTTTCTCTCTCCTCACCCTACTCTCCTCTCTGCGAATCGAATTCATCCTATACTTTCGTTCTGCATATACAAACTCAGATCCATTCCATTCACTTTTGATCATATTTTTGATGGAAATGGCTTCAATCTCTTCAAGTCCCCGAACTGTAGAAGAAATCTTCAAAGATTATAGCGGTCGAAGAACTGGCGTAGTTCGTGCTTTGACTTTCGGTACTCTCATGCTTTATACTTTCTTTCCACTCTCTCTTTAAATTCTTGTTATTCTTTCTTGAAATCTTGTCTGACTTGGCGACTTTGGCTTCTCTCAGATGTTGATGAATTCTGTGGTCTCTGTGATCCAGGTGATTTTGAGTTTTAATTTACTTTTTTCTTATCGTAGATTCGAGTTTTCACTTTATATTGTTCAAATTTTTTATTTTTCTTAAGTTTTTTTTCTTGATATTATTTGACCTCGGAATTAATATTTTGTATATGTTTGTTTATAATTGAATTCGTTAATAGGAGGATTGATTTAGACTCTATTTGATTTTGGATGAAACTGAAAATATAATGGAAATAAACAAGGGAAAGTGTATTCAATTTCCTCTTCTTGCTCTTTTAGGAGGATTATTTACTGACAGATTTTGCCCTCAATGTTGTTGATTAATTAATGGTTGGATGCTTGGAGAGCAATTAAGAAAGATTTAAATTTTAAGATTTCTTGAAGTCATTTTGGTACAGTTCAAATTTGTATGGATTTCCTTAGGAGCCCTATTTATTCCTTTTTTAACAAATGTTCTGTCTGATACCGAACCTACCCTCTTAGTTTCTAGGAAAAAAACCCAACTTAGTTCTGCCAAGAACTGAAGGAAAATTTAGTTGATTTGATTATTTTGTTGATGAACCAGATCATCTGACATTTTTTTTTTTCTTTAGTTATATCCGTCATTCCCGTTCTTTTGCATATATTCTTTATCTGTATTTTCTTCATTGATTGATTAGAGAAGGAGAATTTAAGCCTGTATGGACATCCAAATGAGACTTGGGAAGTCTCTCTTCCAGCAGAGGAAGTTCCTCCAGAGCTTCCAGAGCCAGCATTAGGAATTAACTTTGCAAGAGATGGCATGGACCGGAAAGATTGGCTTTCGCTGGTTGCTGTCCATTGCGATTGTTGGTTGCTTTCTGTGGCATTCTATTTTGGAGCCCGGCTTAACCGCAATGAAAGGTAAATTATTTTTCTTCCTTTTATGTTCAGCGGATGTCGGCAATAATTACACCATAGTGAATCTGATGCACTTGTTGATAATAGACTTGCTATGCTTGAGAAGCTCGTAGTGATTCTTTCCTGTTAAATGTTTGGTTTGTCAGCATCACTGTCTTGACATTTGGATTGATATTTGTTAAGTAAATCTATTATCGTATTAGCATGTCTTCAATTTGTTTAGACATATGTTAGTTGACAAATTTCATAACAAGAGGAGTCTATAACTAGAACAAGATGTTAGTTTGATTTTTATTAAGTAAATCTATTCTTGCTCCAACTGGGATATCCTTTGAATCTTTTATTGTTTTGCTATACTAACTCAAATGTTATTAGGATGAGTGCACTTGCCCTGTAGGAATTTTCCTGGCTAACACACAAAAGATGTAGTCTGTTCCTTTTTATGGTGACATATGACATTGATTGCATTATATTAAAATTTCATGATGTCAAAATTACCATAGTAGTATTAAAATTGGTTTAAAATGTTAGGATGAGTTCACCTGCCTGTTATCATGGCAGTATAATTCAACGCACTAAATTACCTATGTAGATGTACAATTACACTGACTACATAAAAACAAAAAAACGCATAATGAGGTCGGAAAGAAGTTCACTCTCTTTAGATCCTACTCTCTTCTTCTTCAACTTCTTCTCCTCTCTCTCTCTCTCTCTCTCTCTCTCTCTCTCTCTCTCTCTCTCCTTTTATTCATGGCAGCCGCCTGCCACTTGTCAAATCTGTTTCGACACCGTGTTTCGTTTGATCGGGCTCCACTTCATCCAAAAGAATCACCTTGTTCCTGGATTTTACCATTTTATCCCTGGTTTCCTTCCTTGTCTCTCTCTCTCTCTACCCCTTTTATACAGGGAATTTTCATGGCAGCTGCCTGCCACTTGTCAAATCTGTTTTGACACCTGGGTGTTTTGTTTGATCGGGCTCCACTTCATCCAAAAGAATCATCTTGTTCCTGGATTTTATCATTTTATCCCTGGTTCCCTTTCCCCCATCTTGTCTTTTGTTGCCTTTAACCTTTAGGATCTAGTCTGAACTAAGGTCATCACACATAGGGCTCCTCACCCTTTCCCATGTTGGCACATGGGCTGTCATTCACAAACCATGCCTTGACATATCATCCCCGGGAAGTGAGGAAGAGGCAGTTTCAAAGAGTTGGGCTTGTGGATTAAGAGAAAGTGCTAGTTAGGAGGTGATGCTACGAGGATACTGCCACTATGATTGCATTAAAGCACATGTATCAGTAGCAGCAGGTTCAAAACTGAGGAATCGGAAAAATATTGTAGGACAACTGTCTCTCTTTGAGAGTAACAATGCATCATTGTATCTCCTTCCCTTTCGTCTATCTTTGCCTAGGTAACATATTTGACCTTGTATGAAAATACACCTCCGTCTTCTCCACACTCGTCGTTCTCCAACCACTGTCTTTGGGTTTTTGCAGCATAACGTGTATCAAACCTAATGATTTTTACCCACATCTTTCATGCTATGTTGCTCTCTGTCTTGTGCTGTGTCTCTGGTGGGATGGGGGGTATTATTTATGTATCATGCAACATTTTCTGAGTCATGCTTGTTTTCTCAGGAAACGTCTATTTAGCTTGATCAATGATCTGCCCACCGTTTTTGAGGTTGTAACAGAGAGAAAGCCTGCAAAAGACAAACCCAGTGCAGATAGCGGAAGCAAATCCCGGGGCAGCACAAAGGTGAGATATATCATACTTGATTTGGATTATTTCCTTATTATCTATATTTTCTAGGGTCCAGACAAACTAAATTTGTGGTGAGGTGTGCTGAAAGATATTGTAAACTGAGGTGTATATTTACAATGATGTTCTATTGTTGTATACTGAAGTAATGCATTGTATGTATGAATTAAACCTGATTTATGAAAATGACAAGTAATTCTTTTTTTCTTCCACTTATCCAGTAAATTTTTTCCCTTTAAAACCGATGCATCCATATCCCTGTAGTTAACTTGGATTCTTTATCTGTAGAGATCAAGTGATGGGCAGGTGAAAAGCAACCCTAAGTTGGTTGATGAAAGTTACGAGGAGGAGGATGATGAACATAGTGAAACCCTATGCGGAAGCTGTGGTGGAAATTACAGTGCGGATGAGTTTTGGATTGGCTGCGACATCTGTGAGAGGTGGTTCCATGGAAAGTGTGTGAAGATAACACCTGCCAAGGCTGAGAGTATAAAGCAATACAAGTGCCCATCTTGCAGCATAAAGAGGGGTAGGCAGTAGTAGTCACAAAAACCAACGGAAAGGGATTAATGGCATTGATTTGATGGCTGACAAAGTAGTATAGCAATGTAACGTTTTAAAAGATTGTAATAGAATTGTTGTGATGTTTATTTGTAGCAGCAGATGCTTTCACTGGGGTCGAAGTGTGCCTTCTTCCTGTTGAATCCTTGTTCTTTTCTTATAAATAAATAATCTTTTAGTTTGTTGTATATGCTTCTTTGCGTGCCTCTTTTTCATCATTTACTTATTTTGGTATAAATAAAGAATATTTTAGTTTGTTGTATATGGACATTATACCTTGCATTGTGTGATTTTGGTACCGAGTTAAACGCTGCCAATTTTTTTTGTAGGATATTATGTGGAAGTGGTCTAATATTCAATTGATATCAATGATATAATGATCTTAATAATGTGTTCTGGAGGATTATTCTTCAGGTTTAACATGGTAGAGTGTGAGAAGTTTTGGACTCTGTTTGCTTGTTCAGTTATTTAGTTAAAATCTTAAATTGTGTTTAATCTGACATGCATGAATGGTTTCAATTGATTTTTCATAATTTTGAAAGCTATATTTGATATCCTCTCATTTATCTTCTTAATGAGGTTTGTGTCTCTACTTGCAGGGCAACACCAAAAACGTCTCCTGTGTATCCTAAAGGCTATGGGCATTCTTGACCAGAGACACACTTTCTCTCTCTCTCACACACAATTAAACTTTATTTAGTTTTAATTTCAAAGAAAAATGGTTATTTGAATCAAATAGCCACTAACATCTAATCTTATCAGTCTCCTTGCTACATCAACACCGAAGTTAAGTGTTGTCAATACCTAAAGGCAGTTACAATACAATAAGATGTATGATTGACACATTTTGTTACAGAATATTTCTTAGACAAGTCCCATATTTTTTTGCCAAAGTCCACCACGGAACTATGGCAGCATCAAGATTGATCCATGCCATTGATATCTAAAATAGAAATAACTTTAGAAACCCCATTTATTTTGTAACTAACATTTACATATATGCCTCGGGGCTCTAGAACATCAGAGTTGCATTTATGTCGCTCAGAGACAAGCGAGGAACAATCTTGAGAAAAATTATTTCTTACATGATTCATACACCAGAATTTTGAGAGTACATCGATTATATGTTTATATATATATGATACAGTTTAGCAAGCATAAACTGTGTGTAAAAATCAAGCTTCCCATCAATTTAATGTTGGGTAAAAAATTACACTCTATATAGCCTCTGCGGTGCTCAGCTTCCTTCGAGTTTCTGACTATCCTGCAATTTATCCACACTTTCAGTGCTCCCCGTGGTTGATTTTTCTGCAACAAGCTGCCCGACCTTTACATATTTCTCCATGAATTTATATTCCCAGTCCTGCAGAGCTTCAAGCTCAGAAGCACCGAGACCGTCAATGTTCCCAGTAAGATCTTGAGGGTCAAATGACATGAGAGCTAAGGCTCTGCTCGCATCCCTACCAGCAAACAAGGCATATGGTCCACCAGGACCATAAAACATCCTGCACATAAGGTGAAGTAATATCTTATGTGCCTATTTGATTTCAATAAACAAATAATAAGACGGAACATATAATAATAATGAAAAGGGAAGACACAATATCTTCCTTCCAAGTTGTAAGTGCCAGAAGCAACACACACACGTACACACACATATAAGAATCTATGAAAATCAAAAGAAAGATTTCCAAACATGAAATTGTTAAATTTTAAATAAAGAAGACAAAATGGAACGAATTGGTAATTTTGGATAAAGAAGACCAAAACTTGAAAACATTGCAAAAAAATATACTTGGTGATATAGCAAGAATGAAAGTTAAACATGGTGTTATCAAATTCATCAAGCAGGTTAAGCAATGTCAATCATATAGACAGTTTATATGTTTAAGGGCCTGTTTTATAACCATTTGTTTTCAGTTACCGTTTTGCTTGCATAATAATTCAAAACATGAAACAAAAAAAATGTTTGCTGCATGTTTCCATTCTTTCTTAAACAGCTTCACTACATAAGCGAACCTCAGATTCCAAATTTTCTTTTGCTGAAGGCAAGGAAAGAAGCTGCTTCCATGGTTGACAAAGTACCCAATTATGTTTTAAAAGTTCACTTTGAGGAACAAGGTTCTGCTTGGGCAGGAATAAAAGAAGGATTTAGGAGAGGCTCTATACCATCATTATCTACGGAAATCCTAGATCTATCTCTGCAAGGCTTATGGGTTCCATCAACTCTGGTGACAATGATGTTATGCCAGTTATAGAGCATAACTCAGTCAACTTCATCTAAAAACAATCTGTAAGCACGACAATTGATAGTTATGTAGAGTATGATTCTAAACAAGAGGCTCAAACCAATGTCCTTCTGCAATGAGGGGCGACTCAACCCATATAACAAGATACTGTGCAAGACACCACTGAAAGTTCATCTAGACAAAAGGAATTGTGGAAAGACATCCAAGACTCTTTCGGTAAGTCAGTTTCTACTAACAAATTGAATGACTTCATTTGAAGGGTGCTCTGGAACTTTTAAATCTTAAATCAAGTCTTAGTGAAGTGAACTGTTAAGGAAGACACTAACCTAGCAACAGCCAAGGTTGGCAAAAGCGACCTGAAGTATCATAAGCCATGCAGTAATGGTAAAACTAATAAAGATATCACGACCGAGTAGTTTGTTCACTCATTAAAAGGTTATGTTTAGGATTGGTACACCAACCGTGACCCAATTCTATAGATAGTTGAAAGTGATTGGAGCTATGGCTTTTCAATAGCTTTTATAGCACTCGGGGCATGTCAGCATGATTTAAATGCGCTAACACTTATCAATAGAAGGATGATCCTGTTATCAATTACATTGATAGAGGTCTCGAGAACCTTGAGCCCAGGGGCTGCTCTAGCCTTAGGCGAGTTAGGCGGCCGCCTAAGGCCCCAGCCAATAAAAAAGGCCTCAAAATATTATAGTTGCCTAATATATGATATATTGTAATTGTTTCTTTATTGAACACTAATTCTAATTTATTTATCTCCTAAAATAAGTCTGTTTTTTTTTTTTTTTTTTCCTCACTTCTCATCATCATTCATTCCTTTCATTAAGCTTTAACCAAGAGACAAATTATTATTATTATTATTTTTTTGTTTTCTCACTTCTCATCATCATTCATTCCTTTCATTAAACTTTAACCAAGAGACAAATTATATATCTCCTAAAATATCTCATTTTTTTTATTTATCTCGTAAAATATCTCATTAATATTTTATTTCTTTGTCTATCCTATACCGTTTTTTTTACACATTTTTTTGTTTTACACCAGCACTATATATATTTAATATTTTTTCAATAAATTGCACTACAATAAATATTTAGCCGTTGAGGAAGTAAAAAAACTTTTCATATTCTCTTTTTCTAGATTTTTATTTTATTTATTTAATAATTAATATATTATGATATGAAAAGACCCTCAAAAAGTAAGAAGGATGATTTTTAATTAATTATTATTTAATGTCACTTTTACTTTTCGCCTAAGGCCCCGATTTACAACAAGCCGTTGCTGCTTGAGCCTCATTTGCAAGGACAAACTTTCGGAAACATCTTCCAGAGGGAAGTGCACCCAAAAAATGCATTACAACTCCCGCTACATTCTAAAAGGCATCAAACTGAAGACCCTCGAATAATAGGTTACATGACTCACGACTCACGGCATGCAACAAAGGGGAAGGAAAGGTGTTCCTATTGGGAAGAAAATCGGTAGCAAATCTTTTCCAAGTGTATTAATAATGTCTGTGAATGGATGTTATAAAAGGTCAACGAAGTTATCAAAGTGAAAGTCTTTACACAACTTTCATTTGCAGACATTCATATAGAAACTCATCTTCCAAGTATCAAATAAGAAGAACCACTCACTTGCAAACCAATAAATTTAGGTTCAATTGAGTAAGAAATGTAAAAAGTTATTTACAACCCATACTAACAAGGATTCAAGATGTGCAAAGATTGTAGCCCAGTGCACGAGATCTGAGAAACTCGTATATTTTTTTTTCGAAGAAATAAAATATTTCTCCTATACCTCTAATCTAAAATCAGAACTTTGGAATCAAACTTGTTTTAATTTCATATCTAATTATTTAACCAAATCAACCCTTAAATATTACCCATTTCATAGTCAAGCAAAGCAAAGGACCAAACAATTAAATTGATGATAATTGGTTTAATTCATTATCAAATACTAAGAAGCAAAAAGACAGTAGTAAACAGTGAGATGGGTATGTACCTAGAGCGAGAAACATCGTAAATTTGCCCTTTGATGGCCATCAACAAGGGCTTGCTGGAATCAGAACCGTCATAGGCCCTCAATTGGTCCTCCGTAACATCTCCGAGCTGGACTGGCTCGCGCGGGGCGTAGTCGATGTTGGTCCTTTTGACGGCCGCGTAATCCCCGGCGGCTACGAACATTCCGCAGACAACTTTGTAGACGACCACCATCAGAGCTGCGATGGTGAAGAACGCCGCCGGCGATAGCCCACTGTACTCCGTGATTGAATCCATCACCGTTGCGTACAATCCCATTTTCTATTTTCCCTTCTGTTCTGTTGATAATTGAGAGGGACACTGATTTCAATGAACAATACACGCACATACATTAATATAAAGGTTTTAACACAAAAAATCAAGATAGGTGGGTGCGAGGTTGGACTTCAAAAGCCACCTACCAACTCCCACAATATATATATATATATATATATATCGGGAGACATAACCTTGTAAAGTAAATAAATATTACTTTTAAATGACACAATTGCCCTTATCTTTAAGGGCAAAGTACAGAAAAACCCCCCCTCAATTTGTGACCTCTTTCAATAAATCCCTTATTTATTATTTTACCAAATAACTCCTTAATTTGTAACATTTTTCCAATCAATTTTCCTTATTTAATGTTTTACCAAAGAACCCCCCTCAACTATCTGAAGGGGGTAAAATAGTTGACATTTGGATCAAAATACCCTTTATCTAAATATTAATTCTCCCAAATTTCAAAAACCTTCATAACCAAAGAGAAATAGGAATTTAAAAATCTACTCCAACGATCTTATTTTATTTTTAAGAAATAAAATGCTTGAGATATTTGGAATAAATTTTCAGAATTATTCATTTACATATGGAGTCGAATATATAAATAATTTAACCTCAACAGAGATTGATTTCATTAGATATCATGTTTTGCATCAAAGTATTTTCATTCTTTTATAGATTCGTCATTTAAAAAAATAATAATAATATTCAGTCTCTATTGGAGTTAATTTTTTTATATGTTATGCTCTATATGAAAATGAATACTTCTGAAAATTTTCTTGCAAATAGTCCGAGTATTTTATAAAAAATAAAATAAGATTCTTACAGTAGATTTTTAGATTGTCTATTTCTCTTTGGTTTTGAAGTTTTGTTAAACAAATATTATATTTCTGGAATCCTTATTTTATAAGCTTTCGGTGCATATATTATTTGCAATATTTAGATGTATGGTTTGTGAGAAATGAATTTTTTCAGTTCAAGAAAATTAAGATTTAAATAAAATTGTATTTTGGTCCAAATATCAACTCTTTTACCCCCTTAAATAGTTGAGGGGGTTATTTGATAAAAATTTAGATAATAGAGATTTATTGAAAAGGGCTACAAGTTAAGGGGGGTTTTTTAATAAAAAAATTAGAAGAGAGGGTGTACTGGAAAATGTTACAAATCAAGAGGGGTTTTCTATACTTTGCCCTATCTTTAATATTTTAAGTAACTCTTGACAACACAAATAAAATAAAATAAAAATTGAATAAATCTTTTTTTAAGGGACAAAAATATATATATATTTTGTTATGTTGAATAAATTGCCTTTTTTGCCTAAAAAAAGTAACCATTTAAAAAATTATCTCTTTTCACAAAAAAAAATCCCAAAAAACATATTTATTGAATAAATTATCTCTGTTGTTGAGATCCCAAAAAATAATACACCCCCATCCCATAATAGTTGTCCATCTTTCCTTTTTGGATTGTTCCAAAATACTTGTCTACTTACCAAATTTAAACAACATATTTCACATATTTCCATAAAATACCCTTAAAATTTAAAAAAAAAAAATTCAAACTTGATTATATATATATATATATTTATACTTGAAAGGGTATCTTTGTAATTTTCAAAAGGGACAATGCAATAATTATATGTTCTCTTAAAAAGTTATACTCCCCATAAGGGACATAAAAAATATTATAAAATAAATTATCCCTTTTGACTGCCAAAAATAAAATTAGTAGTATAGAATAAATTATTTTCTTTGAGAGGATCTCCGGAAAAACAAAAAGAAATGAAAAAAAATAAAATAAAACAAGTAAACAAGGTAAAAAAAGAAAACTAAATTTGTATAAAGGGTAGTTATGACATTATAAATTAAGGAATTGTGCATTATTGAAATGAAAGACTTTCTTGTCATTTCTTTTAAAAGAAATTGATAAATGTAGTGCAATTAGAGAAAAATGGAGTGCAAATATCCTTATATATTTTATTATTATTATTGACTAGTGTGGATGTTTTGAGACATTAAGGCTTTGATAAGTTGACGGAGGTATTGTGTTTCAAATTAAGTGTGCCCTAGCTTAAATGGGATTTAATTCATTTGAAATAGAGAATAAAAATCAAATTTCAATTTTTTTTTTTTTTTTTGAGTTATTTGAGATTTTTTATATAATATTTTGATATACTTACAATAATATTAAGTATCAAATTTCAATTGAAAAATCAAATCATGTTTTTGTTAGATTAATAATACAATTATAAAAGTATTATACTAAATCCGTTCCCACCTTGTTTCATATCGTTCAGTACTCACTAAGGATGGTCATGGATCGGATTAGGCATCAATTTTAATCCGATCGGCTCCCAAAGGATTAGACAAATATTAATTTGCCACCAATCCGTTATCTCACTAATCGAATCGGTCAGATCCGTTTAATAACGGATTGGATTGAATTAGATCCACGGATTGAGTTTTATCTAAATTATTTATTATTATTTTTATAATTAATATTATTTCTTATTTTTTTATCTTTTAACCATAACCCAATAGATAAAATTTTAATTTATTAATATTAATTCATATATTTAAATAATTATTAACTAATACATCCTTAAAATCCATTAAATTATCATTAACTAATATATTATTTGAAAATATATAAATTTTACGAATCGAATTGGAATTTTAATGGCCCAAGCCTAATTCGTGATTTGATTCATGAGTTACGAATTCTATTTTATTGAATTTGTCACTAATTTATGGGTGTAGCAATCCGATCCGAACTGAATTGGTTTGGATTCATAAATTATTTGCCCAACCCTAATAGTCACCCTGTGTAATAAACGATTTAAAATAAAAACAAGAGTAACACTGAATTATAATTAAAAATAGAATTGGCGTTCTCCGTCCCGTTCGCGTTACAATCCCTACTTTGAATAGTAAATTTTGACTTATGTATGCGACATAAAATAGAGTGTTGGGGGCAATTTAAGTGGAAATATAGATTTTCTTATCTTTTCTTTTTTGAAGAAAATAATAATAATTCAAGAGGTTTTTTTTGTAAATATGGAATCAATCAGAAACATTTGTTGTAATTAAGTCAAGTTTATTAAAAAAGAGTTTAACATACATACAAATTGCTTTGGTGCATTTGACTTGCGAAAGAAATTATAAAAGCGGGCATTAACTGAGAAAAGATTGCGCGGCGGTGGCTTAAACGCTCCAGATTTGATTGATAGGTGGGCTAAATGTACGGCGACGGAGATGGGTTAGGGTCCATCAGACAAGAATACAGAGTAGTTATGGACCCCAAAAGTCCATACCCAATTCGACGTCTTCAATTCTCCTTCCTCCGTCTTCCTTATACCTAAAAAGCCCTAAAACAAAGCCCTGGGTCCACTAGGGTTTGTTTCCTGTTTCAAGCCCATTATCTCCTTCTTCCTCCTCCAACCTCTTAAGGAAAAGGGAAAAAAGAAAACCCTAAACCTAATTGTAGTTGCAGAGAGCTTCTGATCAGCAATTGATCTTGATTCCAAGCTCTGTGTTTCAAGGTAACACTTTCTAAACTTATATATATATATATATATATATATAAAATGAATATATATCGGAACTTACGCTATTCTTAATGTTTAAGGATTTTGATTTTTATTGGATCTGGTAGTTCCTTCTTTTTTTCGAGATGTGGTGCTGAATGTTACATTGTTTGGTTTTGATAATGTGGTTTATTTTCCCCTTATTAAATGTTATTTATTTATAATTCCTATATATTTGTATAATTAAGGTTTTTCCGGAAACCTTATTAAAGATTGATATTTATGCCCATGAAGGTTCTGTGGTTAGGAATGTATCAGATTCGATTAGTATTTAGATTTTTATAATTTGGTTGGAGCTCCTTGCAGATTATAAATCTGAATAAATTATTTAAGGTGAATATCCAGATCTGAACCGATAAAAACTTTGTGAATTTACCATTTAACCCTCACATTGTAATTACTTTTTTATGTTTTGACACCATAGCTAGCAAAACATCTCATTTGCCCCTTTCATTAATATTGAGGAATGTTTTTTTTTTGAGTTGTTAAGATTTGATTATATGTAGACAGCGATTTGATTTATATAGAGAGATAAAAATCAACTAAACTTAACTCAACAAAGCCTTTTTTTCTAACAACTTAGGATTGAATTCTATTTTTCCATCCCGCTCTATCCAAGTCCATAGCATTTTAGTCAACAACATGTAAACATATCCTTCCCTTCTTACTAACTCTACCCATGCAAGAGAGAGTGCGCGCGCGCGCTAGAATATTAGTGTTTAACGGGGAGAAGACTAGGGTACTGATCAGTTTAGGGAGAAGCCTTAGGGTTTTTTTAAGTTTCTATCTCTCTACTTACTACACTTCTGCTCAAAATAAAGCCCGAACCATTGCTAACAAATATCACCATTTCCTCAACGGCGGCTCAACCTTCTTTCTCCTCCCCCAAATCCAATTTCCACCGACCCAGCACTGTTACCTTCACCATCCGAATGTCCCTCCACGGAGACTCCCACTCCCCAAATCCATTCTTGTTCTCAAGAACCATTTTGAGACTGAATCGACAATGAGGATGGCATGAAAGGGTTTGGAATTAGTGGGAGATGATAAGAGAGACAAAAGGTTTTTGAGTTTGCAATCAAGAACAAAAATTGCAAAGAGAAGAATGAAAGGAATCGACGGTGAGGATGGCTATGGTGTAGTCAGAGCTAACCAATATCAATAATTAAGTTGACTTTTGGCCTTATACATAAATATTGCTTTAGTAACATTCTGTTCTACTTTTATAGTTCCATTTCTTTTTATTTGTTTCAATTTCGAGATAAATGTGTCCAATTCTATGATAGTTTCACGAGTTACCTTTCTTTTTCCCTTGGAGTTTGAAGCTTCACACACACCAATTTGCATCCATTTGATTGAAAGAGACAAGCGAGCAAGAGAGGAAATTTTCCTTTTTGAGGGTATATGATCTTGGTTTTGTTGCTCATTGTCCCCATCTCTTCATCTTTCTCACTTTTGTATATATATATATATATATATATATAGGCACACAAATAGACCCCTCAAATCATGGGCACAGAGGAGGTAATATAAAATGCAAATCAAATATATATTTATTTGTGAAATGGAATGAAATCAAAATTAAAATGAAAATTCACCTGAAAGTTGTGAGGAATTAGCATTGTAGAGAATTTGGTTAAGGTTGTTGGGTAAAGAAATAGAGATTTAAAATGGCAAATTTGTCCAATTATGTTTGTTATAATAAGGATAAAGTCATGATTTCACTGAATTAATTGAAGTATATCGTCTTCCCAACTTTTTTCAAGGGCAAAAATGGAATATCCAAATGTCTGGTTAGTGACATAAGCCATTTAGATTGTCAACGTCTTTGACTGTCACCAAAGGGGTAAAGTGTTACCCAAACACAAACATCAGAGAAAACACAAGAAAGGACAGTGTAATAAACACAAATGTCAGGGAAAGTCGGTATATCTACCGTTTTTCCAATTCTGATTATATACATTAGGGTAAATTACATTGACTTCGCCTAAAATTTGGCTTAATAAAGACTTTAAGTTTTGCAAAAGTTGCTCTGACACCCCTGTCAAAGTGAGTCTTTTAACATCACAAACACGTTCACAATTTTATCCTACAGAAAGTAGAAAAAATTACCCTATCTCAATCTCTTTTCCCCCCTTTTTCAATGCCCTTCTATTTCTCTCTCTAAATTCATCCTCCCCAGAACTACCTCCAACAACTCCACTATCTCTCCTCCACAACCATCATTGCCCCCTTCTTTGGGTGATTCGTGGGCCAATCCCTCTCTGGATTCCAGTACTAGTGTCAGATTCTGGTTGCATTTCTGGCTAAACATGGTAAAAGCAACTAAGAGTGGTAACACCATTTCTATCTCTCTCCACACAGACACATTTTCTCTTCTATACCGAAATCCTTAAACATTTTGTAATGCTAGGTTTAGTTCAACTTTATCTCTCCTTGCCTGCAATTCCACCGTGAGATCCCATTGGCGGTGACTTCTCTATCTTTTGAAGACTTTTTTACGAAAAGGGTTTGAGTCCAATTATGGCAAGCTTAAGTAGTGGTGGGTGTACATGAGCCTCAAGTGCTGGTGTAGGAGGCAATACAACCATTGTGTCCTCTCTTTGACTTGTGCCTTCTTTAATTCTTAGGATTGATTGGGACCCTTACACTTGATTAATGTTGTCTCTTTGTTCAGTTGTCAAGATGACAGTGATTGTTCATGGTTGATTAGATTATGTATGCATATACAACGTATGTATTTATGTGGTAGTTTTTTTTTCCTGCATTTTTGGCATTTCATTTTAATTTTTTTTTTAAAAAAATGGACTTCAACTAGATTAACAATTAACTAATGGTAGTAAAGATCAGAGTTATTTCAAAGAAACTTAAGGGGGAGGTTGACCAAATTTGTTTTCATAACTTTTAAGTCGATGGTAATTAGGTCAAGCCTCAAGGGAGGTCGGGGTAGTCTCTATTCTATACGTTATATGTGTGGGGCTGATCAATTGGGGTCAAACTGTGACATCATAATGACAACTTAAGTGCATTAAAGATACAAAAATAATAAATTGCTTAAGATCAGGGAGAAAATTGGGTAAATTATTTTTCCCCCTTTTAAACACTTCTTTTTTTTCCTTTTTGAACCTATAAAATAAATTGCTCATTTAAACAACTTTTATAATAATATATTACATCACAAAGAATGTATTAGATCATGTTTATCAACTCGAATCAGATAAAATCTCTTTATTGAATTTAACAAAGGGATTCCCTTGCCTTGAGACTTTGCAACCTGAATAGGATTTTGTGGGTTGGGACTTGGGATTTAAACAAAGATTTACAGTTTTTCGATGAACGCTCTTTGATTGAATTCATTTGAAGAAGGGTATTGGAGAAGGCTGGAGCAGAACCATGTTTCATGGCTGATTTTTCCAAATTTTCTTTGCTGCTGTATAAGAAGTCAATGTTTAGCCATTCGAGTAGTTTAAAAAATTGAGCCCAAGGATCCTTCTACATGGAAGAAAAAAGAAATTGTTTATTCTGAAAAAGATGAAGGGAGCTGGTAGAAATGGGCAACTATTTAAAGGTTGATGTAATGTAATTATTATGTAGTCGGAGAACTTTTAGGAATGTGTTGTGTTATGGCCACTTTGATGCTTTTTTTTTTTTAATCCTGTTTATAGTTGCAATCATAATATAATTAGACATGTTCAAAGTATAGCAATGGATATTAATTATTATTATTATTTTTTTGCATAATTATTGATCTGGTTTAATTTATGCTTGATACATGATTATGTGTTGGTCATCAACAAAAATTAGTTATGAGTAAAACTCATGTGTGATGCTACTATATTTTTGTATCTTTAATTTATTTATTTCAAATAAAATGTAGGTAGTTAAAAGGTAAAGGACAAGTGGGTAACATTATCAATTACAAGTCACTCTCTGAAGTTGGAGGACTTCTAGAAAATGCATTCACCAAACAACTTTTCTCTTCTGAATTACTTTTAGAGAAGTTTTGTAAAGACCTTTCTAATGAACCACTTTTCATAGCAGGAAACTCTTACCCGGTGATGGTTCATTGGCCCGATCATCCTTCCAGGCTGGATTTCAGAACATTAGTAGTAGGTACTGGTAGTAGCTTGTGTTAAAGTTGTTATATTCTCAAAGAATTCTTTCTAGTTCAAAATGCTGTTTTATTGTCTGATATGTGCTTTTTTCCCCCCTCCTTTTTGGTGAAAAAATTGGAAGTTCTCCTCCACCCTCTTTATCTGTTGCTTTTGGAATTTATTGTGTAAATTATTCAGTAGGTTTTTAGTCAAGAAGGACCTCTAAATTTATTGCATGATTTAGGAAAAAAGACGTATGAGAAGCAAACTCTACAGGGTTCATATAGCATTTGTATATGGAATGGTTCCAAAATGTTGGCTCCTTGATTAAAAGTTTTGAACTTCTGAAGTGTTTGCATGGCATTGATTAAAGGACCACTTCAAGAAGCACTCTTATACGAAAGAATAAATAATATTCTAGGTCAAAATTGTTTGTATTACCTTCTTGGAGCAACTGTTTCCTCTCTCCTCGTGGTGTAGTTTCCAGGACAATTGGCAATGAAATTGAAATGACTTGAATGGATTTCTTTTTCTCTAAATAATTTATTTTCCAGAAGTTTTTGTACTCAACATTTGTGTTCTCTTGGATTTTATAGTTTTTCTATGAAATTATGTCTGTTGTTTTAGAAGAATCCTTGAAAAATTATGCAGGATCTAAGAATGCAGGCCAGAAAATGTTTTTCATTTTCTTATTGTTTATGAATAAATATGGAATATTATATATCTATTGAAATTTTACTTGCACATCATATGGGTCTTTTTAAATTTTAATTCATTTTCTTTTTATCTGTTGTCTCTGAATTAACAAGTTAAATTTTGATGCATCAATCATATGAAATGCAAATATCATGTTTTTGTTTTATTCAATCGTGATAAAAGTGGATTACATCAGGGGCTGCAGGACAGCAGGGCATATAGAAAGTATGGAATGTCATCAGAATATATAGTCTTTAGAGAGTTTTGGGTTGCCACCTTTGTAGCTTTAATCATATTTCTATTAAATCTCCTTCCCCTCTTTTTACTTATATTTTTTTATAAAAATATGTAATGGTGCAAATCTTCAACGACTTACCCATAAGCTTTATTTGTTTTTATTTAGTACATGGTTAGGGATTAGCTAAAGTAGATGCAGTTAGTCATGTTCAAATCGGACATGCAAAAATGCTACTGCAATGTGCAGAAGAAACCCCTGGTTAATATTTTTCATTAGATTTTCCCCATTTTTATCTTTATCACTGATCTGTAATCATTGAGTGGCTCCATCTTGACATTGGTGATTAGATCTTTAAATTCAGGTGGTGTTCTTACACTTTGTGGTAATAATACATTGTGGATTATATAGCACCCCATTTTTGCACAGAAGTGTGCGAGATGCAACTATTTTCAGCAGATGAAGGTTTAAACAAAATAATAAAAAAAAGTAAAATAGTATAGGGGAGTCGTATGCACAATATCTATATTACAAGGTTTTTTTTGGCACTTTACCCTTATTCAAATGTTTAACCAAGTTAATGAATCAAATCACATTTAGTAAATTACAGAATGAACAAGTCTGGACATATTTAGTGTCAGGACTGTTTCCCATGACGCTTTTCACTCTAATGCAGGACTTTTTGCATAGAGATGGCTACCCCTACTGATAACAGTGGCCCACCCAATTTGGATACACAGCCTAACAAGCCCAGCAGAAAGAAGTCCATAGTATGGGAACATTTTACAATTGAAACTATTGATGCTGGCTGCACCAGGGCCTGTTGTAAGCAGTGTAAAAAGTCATTTGCCTACATTACTGGCTCGAAGCAAGCAGGCACCAGCCATCTCAAACGACACATTGCCTTGGGGATCTGCCCTGTAACCCGCCGTAATAAGGAGAAAAATAAACTGACTCCATATACCCCTCGTAACAAAACTGAATATTATGCAAGTGGTACTGCTCCACCAAGAAAGCGCTACAGTGGAACTCCTGGATCAGCAAGCATTCCTTTGGATCAGGACCATTGCAGGTATGAAGTTGCCAAGATGATCATCCTGCATGAATATCCTCTGCACATTGTGGAACATTCTGGTTTTATTGATTTTGTACGGACTCTTCAACCTCGGTTTAATATGGTGAGCTTCAATAATGTGCAAGATGATTGTTTTAGTGTGTACCTTAGGGAGAAGCGAGGCCTTTTTAATTTTCTTGGTGGAATTCCTGGACGAGTGAGCCTTACTGTGGATCTATGGACTTCAGATCAAAGCTTAGGCTATGTATTTTTAACAGGACACTTCATTGATGGCGATTGGAAATTGCATCGACGGATTCTTAATGTTATCATAGTTTCATCTCCTGACTCAGAATTTGCTTTCAATCATGCTATTGCTGCATGCCTAACTGATTGGAATTTGGATACCAAACTATTTACTATAACTCTTGATCAATCCTTTGCGAATGAAGCTGTTAGAGAGAATCTCAGAGGTCTACTCACGATCAAGAACCCACTTACTCTCAATGGTCAACTGCTAATTGGAAATTGCTATGCTCGTGTTTTAAGTCGACTTGCAGAAGATGCGTTTGGTTCAATTAGGGAAACCATTAGGAAAGTTCGTGAAATTGTCAAGTATGTGAAAACTTCAGAAGCCCAGGAAGAAAATTTTGTTGATATGAAGCAACAACTTCAAGTGCCCAGCTCAAAGAGCCTGGTCATTGACAACAAAACAAAATGGGACACTACTTATCACATGCTGGTGGCTGCCTCAGAATTGAAGGAAGTGTTTTATTGCTTGGATACATCTGATCCAAATTACAAGGAAACTATATCTATGGATGAGTGGAAACAGGTGGAAACTATCTGTACATACTTGAAGCTTTTATTTGATGCGGCTGACATTCTAACTGCTACAACATATCCAACTGCCAATACATTCTTTCATGAAGTGTGGAAAATTCAGCTTGAGCTGACGCATGCAGCCATGAGCCAGGATCCCTTGATTAGCAATCTGATCACACCTTTGCAAGAAAAGTTTGATAAATATTGGAAAGACAGCAGCCTGGTTTTGGCAATTGCTGTAGTTATGGATCCGAGATTCAAAATGAAGCTTGTGGAGTTCAGCTTTTCCAGGATATACGGTGAGGATGCTGAGACCTGGATCAAGATTATTGATGAGGGTGTTCATGAACTATTTCTTGAATATATCATGCACTTACTTCCTCCACCAACCTTTCTGAAAGAAGGAAATGAAGTTCTTGCTAAAACAGAGATACCTCAAGAAGGATCCCTTCTTTGTGGTGGTGATGGCCTCTCAGATTTCGATGTTTACATCTCTGAGATTTCTAGCAATCAACAGATGAAATCAGAACTAGATCAGTATCTGGAAGAATCCCTTCTGCCTCGCTCTCAAGATTTTGATGTTTTGGGATGGTGGAAACTGAACCGTTTAAAGTATCCAGCTCTCTCCAAAATGGCATCTGATATTTTGTCAATCCCGGTTTCTACTGTTGCTCCGGATTCTGTGTTTGACACTGTAAGCAAGAAAATGGATGACTATCGGAGTTCGTTGAGCCCTATGACATTAGAGGCACTTATTTGTGCAAAGGATTGGCTCCAGTATGGATCTTTAGAATATTTTAATGCAATTGTCAAAACAGAAATTTAGGTTTAGAGGTATTATGTTTAATTTGTAGATTAGGTGTTTTGTGTAGTGTCTCTGTCAATAGGCCGACTAAAGTCACCGATCTCTAGTTATCTTCATTTCTTCGTCCATTGCGAAAATTTCCTAGGTTTAGTGCATCATCGTCTCTTTAGGGGTTGTTTGATCGGATTCAATGCATCACTTGTTAGATTAGTGCGTCAATCATTTTAATTGGCATCTCTTGATCCCCATTATTACTGTATATACCCTTTTTCTTACTGGTTTTTTGTACTATGTATCTGGCTGATATCCCATTTTGTTACTTCAGACTAGGTTTTGTACAAAACCTAGGTCCTGTTCGACCGAATTTGAATGTGGCCCATTGTCAGCTGTGTGGAAGTGTGCCATGTTAGATGTTGGATTTATTCGTAATATACAATATCATAACGAACCTCTGATGGTTTTGTTTGGAAAGCTCTACAAGGTCCAGTGATTACAAGCTATAATAGATTTATGAATTCCACCATCAATTAAATGAAGCTACAAATCCCAACTCATTGTGGTTTACTGCCCAGAAGTCTGGTTTGTTTTGCTTCATTCTGAGAGCACATTCTTTACCCAGTGTATATAGGTTAACGAGTCCTTTCTCATGAAATGAATATTTTGAAATCATTACAGATATATAGTTTAATGTAGAAACAGATTTTCTTTCCAAATTGAACTACAGTAATCAATGGTGCTGTACTTGCTACTTGTGAAGTTTATTCTCTCTTTTTAATCCAATTGTGATAAATGTGCCTGCTCAAAATCAAATTCATTTAAATATTTTATCTTTATCAAATAATACTACAGGTATTTTTTTTTTTTAGGGTAAAGTACATTAACACCCCTTGAGGTTTGCTAAAAGGACAGACAAATGAAACTTATCCTATTTTGGGACAAAGATACCCCCTCAAATTTGATACACTTACCAAAGACACCCCCAATGGTAATGAATTGACATTTTTGCCCTTTAACTTTTAAATTGACTAATTTAAATGTTAAAATGACCTTTCTAACCTTACTAATCTATTTCTTTCCTTTTCTCTTCTCTCTCGGTTCTCTCCTCCTGCAACACCAACACACATATAGACACACACACACATATATATACACACATATAGACACACACACACATATATATAGACACACATATAGACACATACACACATATATATATCCACACATATACACATATATATCCACACACATATGTGTGTGTGTGTGTATACAGATACAAACATATATATATCCACACATACAAGGCGGCGACGGGCGGCGACGAGCTGTCGTCAAGGAGAATAACACTGGTGAATTAGATGATGATGATGGCGTCGGTGGCAGAGGTGTCGACGGTGGTTGTAACAGAGGCGGCGACGGTGGTTGCAACAAAGGCGCTGACGGTGGTTTTCAGATTTGCAAATCGCGTGGACTTCACGCGCTTACAATCCTCTTCTTCCTTCAATACCCACTGCAGCCGCCGCCGCCACAACACCCACCACCACCACTACCGCCACACAATTGGCTTCGCTCCCACACCCCTATATACCAGCATCATCACCGGACCACCACCACCGACCACCACTCGTTTCAACACCATCCCACCTGAAAATTAACACCCAAAAGCCATACCCAATTTTCTTTTTCTGTGTTTATATATATATATACCACTCGTTTCATATATATACACTGAAGAAATTTGTTGTGTTGTTCTTTCTTGGTCTATTTTTTTCTTTGCGGCTGTGTATAGAGAGAGAGTGTGCCTATTCTTTGTGGCTGTGTATAGAGAGAGAAAGACAATGTATGTTAGAGAGAGAGAGAAACGCTGTATTTTAGAGAGAGGGGGCAAGGGTAATTTAGTCATTTAATTATTTTGATATTTTATAATTATAATTAATTAAATAGTGAAGGGTAAAATTGACTTTTCACGGAATTTTAAGCTCTGTTTGGATTGTAAATTTGATAAGGGGGTGTCTTTGTCCCAAAATAGCCTAATTTTCATCTGAGTGTCCTTTTATCAAACCTCAGGGGGTGTTAGTGTACTTTACCCTTTTTTTAACTTCTCTTATCTTGGACAAAGAACTTGAGAATTTGGAACTTATCAATCTGAAGCAGTAAATAACCCCAAAACTAACCTTAATTGACCCCAATAGCTCAAAATCACACAAACAGAAAGAATAATGCAGAAAATGAAAATTTTGAACCCTAAAAGTTCCATCTTATCATAAAACTAAATATCAACTAACTGTTCTTAAACGATAGCTCAATAGTTCAAAAGCCCAAGGTAGCCTACAGTGATATATTCTAAATACTATTACTTTTTCTTTTCTTTTTTTTCTTATCCACCCACACAAATTTTACTCTCGACCTTTTCTCACCTCTCCCCCTAACACATTAAAGTCATATTTGTCCACCAAAATGATTTTTCTATAGCCTAAGACCTCAAATTGACTCATGCTGCAACAAACATTTTTGACATGCTATGTATGCGGAAGTATAAACCTATACAGACAATGAAGATAAACTGGGATTTGCATTCCATATGGCTGAAGCCTGAGACAGAGTCACAGAGACTTCATTCCATTGGAATTGAGTTGTCTGAATCAAGGATAATCTGGTCATTTTAATGCTTTTTATTTCGATAAAATGGTCCTTTAAAATGCTTAACCTCCCATAAAAATTATAATCCCATGAGAGTAAGGGAAATGATCCCTCCAATTCACAATTACTCATCCTAACCATTCTGCCCCGTTAAAGTAATTCCTGCACACAACCTACGGAACAATCAACAATTTGAAAAACATGTTTAATGTGAGAAAATAGGCTGGCTCTAGCATGCTATTGTGAATTACTTACTTTACATGGGTAATTGATTGTACATACACACACAGATCATGTTTTGTAAAATGTAAAGCTCTCATCACATAGATCTAAGGCCTTAATTATTACATTGGATGATCATCTGTAAGACGAACCTTGTTTAGTATCTCCTCCAACGATTGCAATGCAAACCTGTACCGGTCTTGTGATTTCCTCCCTTCCTCCACAACCTGCACAACACGTTTGTATAAATGATCATACCGGTGAACTGGGTTGTTAATATCAATAGTGTTGCAGCCATGATCAAGAACATAATTACGTCGAATGTCCTTTCTCCATCGTGAAAGAATGTACTGAGGTGGGATTTCCTCCACGGCATTCTGGTTTAGAACATGTAATGCATGCCTGCATAAGTATCCCTTGAAGTTGAATAAACCACATACGCAAAGAACCTCTGCTTCAGATATATTGTGCATAACCTCATAATCTCTTGTTTCCATCCTATTCTCAGCAACTTCAGCATGTTCTTTGACTATGTATGTAATGACAGGCCCATCAGCACTTATTTGTCTTGTGCTAAAACAAGAGTACATTCCCTCCACTTCACTTTGAAATTTCCGAAATATGTTATTTGTGTACAATTTTGAGAGCTGCAACTCAAAATAAAATCTCGGTTTCAACACCGAACTTGAAGTTCTCGACTCAAAATCTGCTAAGATTTCTTCTTGATAAATTTTCTGCAGAATTTGATCATACTTATCAAGAAATTCTTTCAATGGAGTATGTTTATACAAATATCCCTCAAAAAATGAAGCCACTCCCTCGCTTTGATAAATAGGAAACATTCCTGCCAAAAATGTCTCCTTCAAATAAACTGGAACCCACTGTCTACGATCTTCGTACAATGTCTGAAGCCACTTATGGTCCCTAATTCCATAATGCCGCATCATATCCTCCCAAGCCGCTTCAAACTCATCTGCCCTCAAAGAGTGGTAAACTGCTCTAGTCAATGTCACCTTAATTGCTTCATATTCATGCAACCCTCCCAGTTTCTCTGGAACTCTTTTCATGATATTTGTTAAAGAAAGTAAAATAGAAGCTCTAGGAAAAACATCGGTGACAGCAGTTTGCAAGGATTCATTTTGGTCAATAATGATAGATTGTGGAGGGCGTCCTAACATATATGTAAGCCATGCTCTTAACAACCATGTTAACAACTCTACCGTCTTGCCTGCAATTAAACCACAACCTAACAGCACAGATTGTCCGTGGTGATTAACTCCAGTAAATACCACCAGTGGCACATCATAATTGTCCATCAAGCATGTTGTGTCAATTGCAACAACATCACCAAAATAACCATAGGCACCCTTAGACCTTGCATCAGCCCAAAACACATTTCGCAAATATCCTTTCTCATTGAGATCCATCACATAAAAAAAGTTTGGATTCATCAACTGCAAATGACAGAAGGAATTATTTATAGCATGTGCATCTCCTTGTTTAAGCTTCAATTGATTGGATTGATCAACTTGATTCCCAGATTCTGCTTCATCAATATACAAGTTTCCATTGTCCTCGGAATTAATAATGACTGTTCGAAACAACCTTATTTTTTGAACTTCTTCAGGGCTATTTAATTGCACTGGTCTTTTGGTTCCAACACCCATAGTTTTATGGGATTTATAAAATTTTCCACTAGCTGGACTAATCAAATGGTTGTGCTCCAGCTCAACTTCAATTATTCTCCACCTTTTGTTGTCCATCAACCTGAACTTTATCATTGCAGGACAACCAGTTCTTGTTTCTGGTCTTGGTCGGTTTGCTTCACTTTTCTTTTTGAACCCTGCATTGCTACAGCTTAGTTTTCCCCTATATCTTTCTTTACTCTTTCTATACCATGTATTGCTTACTCTGACTCCAAATCCTTGTTCCTTAGCATAGCAATTGTAGAAACAATAAACATCTTCGTAGGATTCAAACTCCATTCCAATAGCTGGAGGCAGGGGATTTTCTCCATGAAACACACTGGTTTGACCAATGTAGTCTGTCATAGCGCAGTCTCCTTCAATCTCAAATCCATCAGCTTCGTCATCATATACAGGTTCACTGTTGAGAGAAACTTCGTCCATCTATAATAGAAAAAGAATACAACGTTTAACTGTCAAAAAAGTAAAGGTTACAGATAAATAATTGTGATATTAAGACTAGGAGAATCAAGAACACACATAAATATATTTACAGTATTTATTTATATATGGGCTCCTATAAATTGTCCCTAATTAATCGCACTCTGAGCTCGTTTTGTTGCAATAGAATTCCTTTCCCTTGAAAATAGACATAAAACAACAGTGGGAAAGCAGCCCCACCCCCCCCCCCCCCCCCCCCCCCCCCCCCCTCCCTCTTCTTAAGATCAATAAACATAGGAGCACATAGTTCAGAATTCAAAATTTCCACAAAGTCATTACAGGACTAGTCTTTTTGTGTTTTGTACATGACAATCAAAGTGACTCTATCAAGGCTGAACTCTAGTTCAAGTTACAACCTTAACGATTCCAATAAAGCAGGTGGTTACTGACTTATTGAGGGGAATTAATCCTCCTTGTTCCTTGACTACTTTTTCCTTTGTTTTATGTTCAGCTGACTTTACAGAATTTGTCAGTTGAAAGCAGAACATTAATGCTAGAAAGTTGTTACAACTAATCGCTTCTTAGTTAGCCTCTGGGTTTTTTTTTTTTCGTTGTCCTCCACTTCATTTCCTTCTTAAGAGATCTTAACACATTTATACATATTAAACTATTTGTATAAAATAACGCATTCAACTGAAATATGAATGTCTTAGGAAATGACTTGTCATTAACATAAAGGGGCTTGCCGAAGAAAGTAAGTTCCATTTCTTTTACTCAATTTGTGAACTAGGTCCTTTCCTACCGCATATACATTATTATTATTTTTCCTTCAAAGTAAACTAAAATTGTAAGTTACAAAACGATGGTACCCTCACAGGTTGCATTATCCTTTGATAGAGAACTCAGAACTTCCATATTTCAACCATCAAAACCCCAGTATAAGCTCGACTCGAGTTAACAAAACATTGTCCATACATCACTGACAGAGTAGCTAAGCACTACAAATAATGCTAATCTGGAAGACAACAGAAGAGAAAAGAAAGAAAAAGCTTGAATTTAATCGCTACTATACAGACCAGTCAAATATCAATCAAAAGTTTCATTATTGGAGGTTCAATCCTATCTATTTGACAACTTATCAAAAAGAGAAAAAGAAAATTCCCATTTACTTGATAAACCCTAACAAGGGTTGTTAGTGTAATAGATGCCTATAATTATGCCAAAACACAGGGAAGGTTAGTTAAATTTACCTAATAAATTTAAATTTGGGAGAAGAGGTTTGATCGATCACTTGGGGGTGAAGAACTACCATTGATGACATTAAGGGTAGCCTCCTAGAAAAGATATTTATTCTTCTCTACTAAAATCATGGATCAAAAAAGAGAATAATAGTAATAATTTTTTTCTAAAAGAACAAAACAAAACTAATTTGGTTGGGGCTGTAACAGATTAATTACCGAGAGATGATCAATATTCCACAGCTTATATATATAGAATGTATGAGCAGAAGACTAGAAGAACTACATATAAAAGTGAACGAAATGCAGGATCATAAAGAGACAGTAATTTGTGCACGCATGCTTTTTATTTCTAGGGAGGTAATCTAATTTAAATCATCTGAAGAGTGTATATATATATATACATATGGAATGCATAAAAAGTCGTACTAAATCTAAAACCATTTAATTATCCTTGCTTAATCTAGATGGATGGATAGATAGATACATTACCTTTGGAATCGAAAGAAGAAGTGGCGGTTATGGTGGTGGTGGTGGTGGTGGTGGAGGCGTATCTGATCGGAGATATCGCCGGACAGGTGCCGGCGGGGAGAGTGGGTGTGCGAAGCGGACTGTGCCCCCAAAGTTTATTTGTAAAAGACAGTTTTCTCTCACACTCTGAAACTGGCTCATTGGGCTTAGCTCCTCTCTATTGGCTGAGGTTAATCCCTATGGAGTAACTTAAGATGAACAAATTGCAACTTGCAAGTCTCCTGGTTAACCTAAAACCGGCTCATATTCATGTAACTATTAAAACCCATCTTCTCATAAGTTTGTTAATTTTTCTATTATTATTATTATTATTTTTGTGTGTGAAAAATATTGCAATTATTAAGGGTGCACACTGCCAGTTTTAGACTAAATCAAAATCGAACAGATTTTATTTGTTCTTAAAAAATCATAATCAAAATCAGAACCGTTAATTCTTGGAATCAAATTATAAAAGACAGGTTCGATTCAGTTTCAACCGCATATATTTGGTTTATCTAAACAAACATATAATATTTTTTGTGTGTGTGTGTGTGAAAAATGTTGCAATTATTAGAGTGCACACTGTCGGTTTTAGACTAAATCGAAATCGAACTGATTTTAATTGTTCTTAAAAATTGGAATCAAAATCAGAACCGTTAATGCTTGGTTCAATTTAATTTGGAACAAATATATAAATTTATACAACAAATGGGTAATAATAAACCTTTCAACTAAGAAATAAAATATACTCAATATTTGTTATCTAAAAGCAAATAAGTTATCATCTTGGAAGCACGGACACTTTTAAGAAGGAGCTATACCAGTGTCATACCCATATCGGACACCGTGATAGGCATGTATTTATGGACTTGTCGTTGTCAAATACACTCCATATCAAGATTAAATACCTACAACCATTTAACTAAAAATGTTTAATGGCAAGTAGGATCGAACCACGCATTAAAGTGACTTTTTATTTTCGAACAAGAGCTTTTAAAAAACATTGATTTTGAGATTTGTCACGAATTATGTAAATGAAATTATAATTTCAAAACTTTAAACAATTAAATGGGAATCAACAAGAAATGAAAACATGTTAATTAAACTAACTTGCTTGAATTTAAATGAGAATGAAACTTATGAAAATAACTTGCATTAAATTAAAGAAAGCTTCAAAGAAAATTATACAAGGAAATAAACTCTCAAAAATTATAACTATCTCTCACTATGTAACTCTCTAACCCTTCTCTCTCTTGTGCAAGATGATCGCCTATTTATAGCCGGATGAACAACACAAGTGGTGTGTGGATCCACTTGCCTATTCCAACTTCTTCTATCAGAGGCCACTCTCTTCATTGCCTAATTTGACATGTTACTTCCTTACACGCCACCACTCCTCATCTTTCTTTTCTCGATTGACTTCAACTACCCCCATTTAATTTCTTTACTTTTTCTTTCATTTTCTAACTCATCATTTCTCTTTTTCTTTTATTTTCTTCTTTCTCTCTCCTTATTTCTCTTCTTCACCTGCACACACTTTTGTTTACTAGTTTTTTCTTCTTATTTTTTATTTTCTTTATTTCTTCTTCTTCTTTCTCTTGTTGACTTTTATTTTTAATTTATTTTCTTCTTTTTCATACATTAACACCTATAAAACACAAAATGAGTATATAAGAATATTTAAATAATATAAAAATCTAATTAAAAGTTTATTTTGATGCATGAAAATAATAGGTTTTATGCACTTATCGCACCGACACTCCTCAGATATGTATCCGACACTTCATATACATGTTCATAAATAAAAATTAATTTTATTGTTTTGGACACTTCGTTGACATTTCTTGGACACTTCGCCAACACTTTTCATACACTTCGCCAAAACTTACCGGACATTTATAACACAACTCTACCTAGTAATCTTGAAAATAATATGAATACTTTCATGACAAAGTAGTGAAACAATAATATATATGATATAAAAATTATTACAATAATAACATAATTTTATTTTCTAATTTATTTCAGATCAACTCTTAGTATAGAAATTATAAATGAATTAAAGTTTTATAATATTATTACTGAATAAATGTATAAAAATAAAAATTTATATTTATATGTAGGCGTATTCACGCCGTACCGGTGTCTTACTTTTTTTAAAATTTGACGCATCAATATATCCGTGTCGTATGGTGTCCATATCCGTGCTACATATGTTATTATCCTTGATTCCCCTTTTTGTGAAACAAATATGAAATTTAAAAGTAACAAATCATTTGATAGTAGTTTTTATCTTTGAGTGTAGTTTAAAAATTATATTATTGGGTTTATTTAAATTAATATATATATATATATATATATATATATATATATATATATATATATATTTACCATATATGTTTATGGGCGGGCCAGCCCGGGATACACTGCTCCGCCCCTGATCACATAATACAGGAGAATTTACTCATAAATCTATATATATTTTAAAACCCAAAATCACATTCAATTATCAATAGTGGTGGTGTTAGCGTTGGTCGGTTGGGTTCACCTCCAAAACCCAAAACGAATGGCTTGGGCTCTTCTTCTCCCTCCTCCTCTCACTCTCCCAATCACCTCTTCTTCTTCTTATTCTTCTTCATCTTCTTCATCATCAACCCACTACATAATCACCAAGAACAGGACTATCTCTGTTGCCAAACACAACAATAACAGATACTACAATGGAAGTAGAAGAGCAAGTGGAATCGTCGTTAAAGCTTCAGCCAAGAGCGACGACGACGATGATACGCCAGCATTCAATCCTTTTGGCTTCGTCACCGATAACCCTTCCAGCCGAAGCGCCATTCAGCTTCCCGAATCTCCCGCTGAGGATGGAAATGTCGGCCAAATGCTCAATGTAAGATACACATAAATTCCACACATAACATTCAGTGTCTACACAATATTCAAAATCCTCTCGTTTTTAGTGTATATGATTGATATTCATGGATATTTACATTTGTTTCCCCAATCTTGTAATCCTATTTTCTCAAGCAGTCTCCGCTATTTTAATCGTGTGGGGGTGGTTGTAGAGTTACAGTTTCTGTTCTTTTAATTAACATGAACAGTCTGTTGAACACTCGTCATCATAACTCAATGCTAAATATAACTTTTTTGAATTTCCTAGCTGTTTAATACTGGGTTTGGGAGAACCACACAGAATCCGCGCATTGTAATTGGAATTGTTAATACATTGTTGGAAATGGAAGTTTTTAGATTAATTGATTAAAAGTTAATTGGCCAATGTTTCCTACTCTATTCAAAGCATTAAATTTTTTTTCCAGTTCATTGATCTCTCTATCTCTTCTAAGTCTCACTTGCTCCTAAATTTGACAGTGGCACCTTCTCCAAATTCCAATTTGGCCTCCTTGTAATGTTATTTGAATTCATATAGAGAAGTAACAAGCAACAACAACCCTGCTTGTATGGATGAAGGAACATAATAATTAATAAATTATGTACTTTATTGTGACATTTTAATATTGAATTAAGAAACATGTTCTGCATCTTTAAGTCACTCTTTTCTAAACTCTGTGGATTTCAATGAAACAGTGACATATAGTGATGATATGGTTATTTCAGCAATAAACTTTTGAGTAAATTTTATCATTCATATTAAAACCTCAGTTGATTTTATAGAGGAAACCAGTTGAGAAGATATATAAGAACTAGGAATGTGAACATTAACATCACAAAAAGGCTTAAATTTTTTGTGAGTACTCGGTTCATCCTTCTTCAACTAAGAACTATCTGTTCTTGTGGGGTCAAAAGTTGTGTCACCTTATCACTGACAATAGGCAGAAGGACTCTAAAAGGTCTACTTGGACAAATAAAAGGACTTGCATGATGAACAGAAACGCACTTCATGACTCTAGGTATCGTATCTGGTGTATTGATGAAACAACACAGTTTTTTTTTTTTTTCCTAATTGGGTACTCACACACACATGCCTCCACTGTGGCTCGAACCCTTGGCCTCTCTTTGAGAAGTAGGGGCTTGGTACTGCTAGGCTACTGGCCTGTTGGTAAACAACACAGTTATTTTAATTACTTACAAGTTGATCTTCTCTGACTGACCTCCTTTATGTCTCAGCAGACCTTGATTGATGAGTCATCTTAAGTCATGAAAATATCATGTCAATTCTGGCTAAATTAGAGATGATAACCCAGTTTCTCGTGGTGTCATGTTTAAGAACAGTTCACATATAACTTGTTTCTTGGTTAGTCTAAATCACATGTTGATATCCATATTAACAAGACTTGAAGCTTGCATCTGATAAGTGTTGGATCCCTCTTACTTCTAGTTTAATTTATTTTGTAAACAGAAATTTTGAAGTGAGCAACGTTTTTATGCTCAACGCTAGGTTAAATTGCTGTCACAGTTCTTTGTATTTGAAGTCAGTCAGCGTGCAATATTTGATTAGATAATGTATTTCCATTGGAAACTTTTTTGGTAGTAGCTTAGACCCGCTACTTCCAATTGGCACTGACATTGACATTTATAGTAAAATATTTTCATTGCACTTAATTTAGTGTTATATTATGATTTACAGATCAGTAGTATCTGAGTGCTCCAATGACCAAATTTCACTACAATGATAACATGCATGCTTTTTGAATTTTAGAGGATAGAAGACAAGGGAAAAGAGTACGGGTCTTACATCAAATCTGGGAAATTCAGATGGTTTGTGAGAGAAACAGGTAAACTTAACACTGTTGTAGTCTATTTTCTTTGTAGTACTTTTGACAATTAATTTTGGCCTTACAGGATTGCCTGATAGCAGACGTGCAACCATCGTCTTCCTTCATGGGGCTCCAACACAATCTTATAGCTATCGAGTTGTTATGTCTCAGGTTTTGTTACTGATTTTTCTTATGACCACTAAATTAAGATGTGGTAGAGTTGTAGGGAAGGAAGGACCATGATGCTCCAGTAAAACCTAGCCTTTTCCTTTCCTTCTGTTTTATTTGCTATTCTGTAGCCAGCAATTCAATTTTATAAATGGTTTCCCCATTCCTCATTTAGTTGTATGGTCTCAATCTGAACAGAGGAAAGATTATCCATTTTGAACAGGACAGAATATACTCTCATATTACCAATACCTAACTAACATGTTTGTTAGATATCCCATAATATGAATGGATATGGGCAGTCTCTCACTTGTACATTTGATGCTTTAAGCTATTTAATTCATTCTTGTGTGGTTGTTGTTATTAGTATTCTCTGAAACCTATATTTTTTTCTTGACTAGATGGCAGATTCTGGGTTCCACTGCTTTGCACCTGATTGGATAGGATTTGGTTTCAGCGATAAGCCACAGTCAGGATATGGTTTTGACTACACTGGTCTGTGATTTTCACAAAGTTAATTGCAATAGATAATCATACTATAATGTATTTGTGGCTCTACAATGCTCAAATTCTGATTTTCTTTAACAAATTTATTATGACAGAGAAGGAATTCCATGCCGAATTTGATAAATTACTGGACGTCCTGGGGGTCAAATCTCCTTTTTATCTTGTAGTTCAGGTTTGAACAACTTTGACAAAGTCCAAAGATTTACCAGTGGTCTATAATGAATATGTATGTGGGCAATTCATACCCTGGTTATATAAAAATTAGCATTTACTTACATCTATAAAGGAATCCTACATTTAAATTTGGTTATACTTGTTGGGAAGTCATATGTTCAATCAATTGTATCTGATAAATATTTATTTTTAAGGGTACTATTAACTAAAACTACATATCTGAACTGAAAATTTTACATGCTTCTTGTAGGGATTTCTTGTAGGTTCGTATGGATTAACTTGGGCTTTGAAAAACCCAAGCAGGATATCCAAGCTTACAATCCTGAATAGTCCACTAACAGTTTCATCTCCCATTCCTGGACTGTTTCAACAGCTCAGGTTTGCTATTTACGATAATTATTAGAAGAATGCTTATGGTTGATCACACAACGACAATTACAATAAGCCACGAACTTTTGTTATTCATAATCTGCCACCTATATAATTTAGATATGATGGATCATTATGTTTATGCTTACCGTGTATCTATATAGCATACTGTTATCTTCTTTTCCTTCAGAGCATTTATAAACAGTAGTTTTGGCATTGGTCTCTTGAAAATGTTGGAGCCTAGGATAATGTATTTCATGTGATATATCTGCTATTATCTTACACACAATACAGCTTTAAGTATAGAGTAGAGAAATTCCAAATTAAAAATTAGTTCCATTAAACCAAAATGAATTGTAACATGTTTTTACTGATTTCCTTTTTCTACGTGCCAATTGTAGAGGAGGTGGTTAACTTAATTTAAATGTTTCAGAACAGTTGAGAAGTTATTTGGCTTGCAACATGTTATATACTGACCTTACTTCTTAAATGATGTGCAACCCAAAGGATACTTTCATTTCCTTGTTAGTTTCTTATTTGGTTAAGAAATTTTCCTTCGCTCTTTATGATAAACAATTTAATTGAACTGCATGCTTGGCTCTTCATTTTTATAGCTCATTTGCACGCATAATAAATATGATGTTGTTTATGTACTTAGCTTTATGTTTTCTTTCCTTTTATTTTTTCTCCCAGAATTCCTCTTTTAGGTGAATTTACTTGCCAGAATGCTGTGATGGCTGAGCGCTTTATTGAAGCAGGTAGCGCGTACGTATCTAAATGCATCTTCTACTTTCAGAAACTGTAATTTTTAATTGGACCTCTGAGTACCTCTACAACCTTTAATGGCATTAACATTCTGCAATTTTTATTTTTGGCATCTTATAATTTGAAGATATTTGAAGAGAATCTCCTCGGAATTTCTATGTTGACTTTTTTTCCTTAGTTGGTACTCACACACACATGCCTCCATGGAGGCTTGAACCCTTGACCTCCCTTTGGGAAAATCCACAGGACCTAGTCCATCTGATCAAAATCCACTACAAGAAATAAGTTACACAACCAGGTTAACCAGACCCTTAGAACACTAGAAATGTCCTAGTTACCTCTTGACAGACTTACGCAAGATCCACTCAGATCTCTTCATGCTGTTTTTCCATCAACAAATCTGCTTGTCATGCAATCTGCTTCTCCATCAATTTCTGATCTCCAAAACCAGTCATTTGATCCTTGTGTTAATTGTGTAGTTAAGCTTTTGGTGTTGATACTACTTGAAGCAGAGCTTGTGTTCATCATCAATACACACTCACCATACTAGATGCTTTGATGAATATGTGAAAAACGTAACTTCTACCTAGATGTTTATGAATGCTCTCTCTTTCAAAACACGTGAGGGGTATATATAGATTTTAGGCTACAAGAGATTAGGGTTAGCAGTTTTCCATTTAAAATGGAAACTGCAATCCGCGGATGTCAATCAAGACCTGTTTCAATTGAAACATGACCAGTGGTCTTCGATGGATCCTTCGATTGATCAAACTTCCCTGTCCAATTAACAGCTTAATGCATTTCAAAAAGGATTTTAATGAATCAAATTATGAATTTTGTAAACCCTAATTGTATGACTGCAATTTAAACATAAACCCTAATTGATGAATGCATGAATGCCCTTGTATATAGCTTGAATTTCTTTTCTGCCCTTGGACAAGAGGTAACCAACTAATCTAACTATTTATTAAAAATACTATATCAAAGTTAAAATAAACTACAGACTTGAGTTTTTGTGATGCAAGTCTTATTGATGTAACAAGATACAAAGTCTAGTTCACTCTTAAACTGAGGACACCAAAAATGGACTGGGCCGAGCTTGACACAGATTGCTAGGAACAGGTCGGGTAAGAGCAACTGAAATGAACCAAGTCCTCACTGAGCAAGCCCAGGACCGGAGGATCAGTTTGGAAGCCCGAACTAAGACAAAAGGAAATGGGTCCAAAACAAAGGTGAACTCAAAAGGCCGGCCCATCGAAAGGAAATCATTTAGAAAGCTTCAAGAATGGTTGTAACAGTCTATAAATAGACTGAAAATAAAGGGAAAAGGGATCGAAATATTTTTGAAGTGTAGAATTATTCTTTCTAAATTGAGAGAGCATTTTTCTTGCATCTTCAATGGTGCCGTCTGTGGGAAACGATGAAGACTGATTCGATCAAGACTGATTCGTGAAGACGAAGCTTGATCTCTGGAAGTTGGATTCAGATCGGCGAGATCATGGTCTGTCTTGCAAAGTCTTGGTTTTAGTTGATCTTTGGAGATTGGAGTCAAATCTGTGCGATCGCGAACTATTTAGCGAAGCTAGATTTGACAAGTTTGCGGCAGGAAAGATTCAGATCCGGCTGAAGGAGATTGGAATTCAGCTAATTCGAGGCCAGATCTAGTGCGTCCGCTTTAGCAGAGTTCAGATTCGATCAGGAATTCACGGTAGATGACTCTACTCCAATCAGGAACGATGATAGGAGGTGAGAGTTCTAATCCGCCGGAAAATGACCAGTAAACAAAGCTCGACGAATTGATGAGCATAATTGAAGTTCTGAGGAGAGAGAATGCGGAATTGAGAGCTGGAATGGAGCTTCGAGAAGTGCCGGTAATACCACGACTGCCTCCAGTAGGCGAGAGAGTTACGCAAACGAATGTTGCGCACTAGGTTGAACAGGAAGGGAATATACATCTGGATCTCCGTCGCGAAGAGATCAGGCCTAACTATATTCTGCCAAATGTTCATCGTATGGAAGATCGGGAAGGATCTGTCCATTTGGATCCGCATCACGAATGGATTAGAAGAGAAAAGTTCATAGAGATCGATCCGTAACGTGAGAAGGTTAGACGAGAAAAAACAGTGGAGTTTGGTCGCAACAAGGCCGCACCGTCATGGCAGAGGTAGTTAACGGAGGAATGGTTTTACGATCCTCCTTATCGACCATCAATGGCCACATATGACTATAGAAGTTTGGACAGGGGGTTTGCTGACCAAAAGATATTCTCAAAGTATCCAAGGGAGAATGAAGCCCTCCGTTCGGCGGCGCAAACGGTTGATTCACCGTTTACTGATGAGATCTTGAACGCTCCAAATCTGAGAAAGTTTTCCATGCTAGTTTTCATTTTGTTTGATGGAACGAGTGATCCGATCGATCACGTTTACCACATTCAGTTGAAAATGGCTCTGAACACAGAGAATGATCCTTTGATGTGCAAGTGCTTTCCTACAAGCCTGATCGGACCGGCGCTCAATTGGTTCAAGAATTTGGCAAAAGGCTCAGTCGATGTGACAAATTCATAAGCCAGTATTATGGGAACAAGCGCCTGGCCAAAGATATTTCAAGTCTGTTCACAATGAAGCAGCACGAAGAGGAGCGTCTCCAAGCTTTCCTCACCAGGTTCAACCTCGTCAAGAGCATGGTAATAGAATATTATCCATCCACGGCAGTTCAAGCATTCAAACTAGCAATGAACTGAGGGACATCGTTCCACACAAGTCTGGTGGTAAATACGCCGAAGACCATGGACGAGCTGAACGAGAGAACTGATGGTTTTATGCGTTTGGAAGAAGAAGAAGCAACTAATGCAAGGAAGACGTCAATAATCTTTACGGAGGAGAAGTCCAAAACCAAGATCTGGCAAAAACAAGCTCCACCATAGCGTCAGATCTCCTGGAAAGCAGAGAAGAGGCCTAGAGAGGAGGAGTCGGTCACTCCACTTAAAGTCACTCTGGCGAGGTTATATCAGGAGAACAAAGATAAGTGTCGCTCTCCCCTACCAATTCGACAACCTCTCGAACAGAAAGATCAGTCTAAACATTGTGCTTTCCATAGTGATTTTGGTCATCAGACTAATGAATGCAGGAACTTAAGGAGGTAAGTTGAAATGCTAATAGCAAAGGGAGAGTTTGTAGGATATATTTAAGGGCCAGCAGTAGAGCAGAACCGACCGGCAAAGCAAGTGAAGAGAAATCAAAAGCCGAGCTACCATAACGCTCAGCCTGTTTGGATAATAAATGCAATTCACGGCCGACCTGAGCCGACCAAGGAGTCAGAAGAACGACTTTGAACGCGCCTCCGACAAGCGCAGATGAAGAGAACGATAGGCATCGTAAACGCTCTGCACAAGCAGAGCATATCAGTTTAGATAAAGTTTGCCAGAATGGATCTGCTGCTCGTACTAATCCCTCATGAAGATCCTCTGGTCGTCAATTTGACAGTGGCAGAGTGCTTGGTGCGAAGAGTTCTGATTGATCCAGGGAGTATGTGATACCCCCGGATTTCCGGATGCGGGTTGGCCAGGCCCACGCCCGATAACCCGAGGATATCAAATCAATTAGTAATAATCGAACACAGAATACAAATAAGAAAAACAAGAATAAATAAATTGCTGAAAAGAAACTAGAATAATAATCCAAAAACCTCAGAATAAAATTTAATTAACAAAGAATGATTCTGATACATCCTACTTCTCCATTTCTATTACAACTTGGGAATCCATCTAGTGGACCCCTAAAATATCTCACTGAACTCAAAAGATTGGAAATGAAACCCAAGTCTAAAATATGAAATAAAACCCTGGTCATCGGTGGAGTGAATAACTGTATCTGCTCAGCACGATCCAGCTCCAAGTCTGGAACTAACAAACACCTGTAAAAATAAGAGTGGGTCAGGCCCACATGCAAATTCTTCTCTAACTACAATCCAAACAGTGACTCGATACGCAGATACACCCTAGATATCTCAACAATAGCTATCTAGTCCATACATATATATATATCCACACTAAGGGACATTCACTGGACTACAGTAGGGGTTTCAACCTGAATAGAAGGCAACATGCGAAAACGCACCCAAAGGTGGGCATGAGTACCTAGACCTAACAGGGTACACCTCAACCTACTATAGCCAGCTACGCATCCACTGCATATACGCACCCTAACCAACGAGTCTGAGGCTCAAGCTCATCTCGTGGTATCATAAACATATATATAAAGTCCGTCCAAAACCAGGGTATGTAGTTCAAATATTTATTGAACTGACATACAATAAATAAGCTAGTAAGTCTATCAACTTATTCAGTTGATATAACTTAACTATCATCCATTAATCCAGGAAGCCACTCAACTTAGTTGCAGTTGATTTGACTTAACACAATTAGGATTCAATATTTTTAAATCCATTCCTTTAATCCATTAGGTTAGGTTTAGGCGTTTTGAGCTAAACCGTCCCCTAGTATGTCACCGTCCCATGCCGGTGCATACAATCCTCCATATCCATGTAATTGACAGAATATATTTATTCAGCAATTTAAATCCAAAACCATGTAAAAATTACAGACTATCAATAACAGTACAGCAATTTAATAACTAAAACCAAAAGCCAGGTAATTGCAGAATAGTTTATACAACACTACAGCAATTACAGTTCAAAATCATAATCCAATTACTTGTAAGATAATATCTAAGATCCCACAATTAACATCCAAACTATGTAAATTACAACCTATAAATAACAGTATAGCAATTTACAATCCAAAACCATCCCAAATAATTACAGAAGACTATTTATAGTTTCAGCAATTTAAATCCAAGAGTTAAACCATGTATTTGCAGGAAACGGTTTAAAGGTTCAACAACTAGCATCCATAGCATGCGTAGATCACATCTAATATATCAATGACTCTATCATGCACTAAAAATAAGTTTTTAAATCACATTATAGTCCCATAAATTGCT